GGGCCTACCAGGTCTTACCAGATGCTCCCCCCTCTTAGTCGGTGGTGCAGTCCTACCTGGAGGGCGTGCAGACTGGTGTGGGACAGCTGGCCAGGGCCTTAGAGGCTGTGCAGGGAGCCCATGAGGCCCTGGGCCAGGCTCAAAGGCAGCTCCAGGACCTGGCGGAGGGGGCTCAAACCCTGGAGCCCCTTCGGGAGCGGGTTGTCCAACACAAGCAGCTGCAGGCTCTGTCTCAACTCTTGCCCCGGCTTCGAGCAGGTGAGTGCTCCAGCATTAGTCGATGGACCCTGGCCCAGATCTTGGGACACAGGTGTGTGGGGTGGGGGTAGAGGAGTGGGGAAGGGGATACCTGGAGGGACCTCCCAGAGAGTGATGCAGGCTTTGTGTAGCATAGAAAGCCTGATGTAAAGTACCGAGTCCTTCTTCTTTGTATACTACACAAAGTGACTGGCCACCCTGCTTATCAATATCTTGAAATATGAGGGAGCTTCAAAAAGTTCATGGAAAAATGGAATGAAAAGATAAGGGAATTTTCTCCTGTGCTTTTTGAAACCCTCTCATATTTCCTTAACAAGCTGGTTAAATAGCTACTCAAGTGCCCCCTGACTGCCTTCTGAGACCCTCCCCAATATCATGTTCCATCAGTGCAAGGGTGGCCCCTGGGTCAGCAGGCCCCGAGAACTTGGCCTGAGTTTGGTTCGATTGGCCAGGGCCTCAGCTTCCTCCACAGGAGGAGGCCCCACAGCAGCCTCTGCTCCCTCTGCTTTAGTGCCTGCGGCAGTGGCCCACACACAGACCCTGATTGATGCTCGGCGGCTCCTGGAGGCCTATGTGAGCCTTAGGGAACTGGAACAGCTGCGAGAGGACACACGGGCACCCCTGGGGGGCTTGGAGTTGCCAGTCTTTGAAGGGCTGCGCCCTCTTACAGAGGCCTTGGGCTTGGCTGTGGAGAGGGCCGCAGGGGCTGCAGGACAGCTGGCCCGAGAGGACCCAGCCCAGTTGGTGGCCGCTGTGCGTGTGGCCGAGGCGGGGCACACGAGCCCACTTGGGCAGCCCCCCTGGGACTGGCGGCAGCGCTTTCTGCGGGCCTTACAGGAGGGCCTGGAACGGGTCCACTTCGGGACATCCCTGTTGCCTGGGCCAGGGGACCTTGCAGACTGGCTGGAAGCTCTGCGCGTGGCTCTGCCAGCCCAACTGGCCACAGCTGAAGCTCTAGTAGCACCCTGCTGCCCGCCGCAATACAAGGTGGTCCGCCTGTGGGCCCACACCCTGCACGGTGGCCTGCGCCGCAGCCTGCAGCAAGTCCTCGTGTGGCCTGAGCTGGGAGCCGCAGAGGCCTTCACCCTGCTGCACTGGGCACAGCACGTGTACCTCGGGTCAGTGCCCCCGGGAACGGGAGAGGGGGGCGGATCAGAGCTGGGGTTCCAGGTGACACCAACACCGCCCCTCCCTTGCCCCACCACCTGCTACTTCTAGGCCCGAAATGATGGGGAGCCTGGAGCTGGGCCCTGAAGCTGACGTGTCCCAGCTGGAGCCTCTGTTGAGCCTGGAGAACATGGAGCAGCTGGAGACCACCTTTGTGAAGCAAGTCCAGGTGAGTGATGGGGCACTGGAGCCCAGCAGCTTTGCCGATCAGCCACAGGCCTTTATGTGAGCAGTGGCACGTGTTGTCCCATGGTCACTTGTCACGGGTTCTTGTCTCTGATGCGGTCAGTGGCCTGCCACAATCTTCTGCCCCTCGCCCCTTCCCCCAGGCCAGTGTAGCCCAGTGGCTGCAGAAGGCGCTGGATGGGGAGGTGGCTGAGTGGGGCCTGGAGAAGCAGCCTGACACAGACCCATCTGGGTTTTATCACTCATCCATGCCAGCCATTGTACTGCAGGTTCGTGGGGTGGCAGCCCACAGTGGGGGGCAGGGAGGAAGGCAGGGCTAAGGGCTCTGCTGACAGCTCACCCATTCTCCTGCCTGTAGATCCTGGATGAGAACATCCGGGTCACCAGCCTGGTCGGGGAGTCACTGCAGCGGCGTATGCACGGCATGGCACTGTCAGAACTGAGCACATTTCTGAGGAGGTCTGCCAAGACGCCAATCCGATCCCAACCCCCGGCACTGCTTCCGGGACCCCAGGGTGGCTGACAGAATAGGGCACACCAGTGGCAAGGGGTTCCTGCAGACTGGACCTCGGTGTTGGGTGGTGGTGGTGGGGGGTGATGGGAAGAGCCAAATTAGGAGCTGAACTACCAGCCCAAAGATTGGTGGCTCGAACCCAGCCTGAGGCACCTCCATTTCAGGGCTTCTGAAAGGTCACAGCCTTGAACCTCCTGGGACCAGTTCTACTCTGCACATAGGGTTTCCATGAGCCAGCATCAACTCTATGGTGACTGAGGCCAAGTAGATTGTGAAGGTGCCAAGGAACAAATGTGCCATCTCTGCCCCCCTGCAGCTTCAATGATGCTCTGATCCGATTCTCCAGAGACCACCTCAGGGGTGAAGCCATAGCCCCTCACTACGTGCCCTACCTACTGGCCACACTCAATCACCACACAGCGCTCAGGTAGGAGGCATACCTGGACCGCCTTCACAAATCCTGACTGCGTATCTGTTATGGATGTAACTGGCCTGGTACCAGGCCACTGGGGCTTTGGACCCACATATCTCCAGGCCTCAATGCGGGATCTCTTGTATGACACTGGTGGTGCAGCGGATTAAACCTTGGCTTCCACTGGAAAGGTCGGCAGTTCAAACCCAGCTGCCACTCCTTGAAAGGACGATGAGGCCATTGGCTTCAGTAAAGATCACAGCTTTGAAAACCCTGTGGGGCAGTTCTGCTCTGGCTTCTAGAACTGCTGAGTCCAACTTGACAAATGGACAGTAGTGGGGCCAGTGCGGGTTCTTTGGGCACATGATCTCATCTCTCCAGACCTCAGTTTTCTCATCAGTACCAGGTGGGGGACGAGCTGTGGTGGTGTAGTGGTGATGCGTTGGGCTGTGATCTGAAAGGTCATCTGTAAGGTCAACAATTCAAAGCCACCAGCAGCTCCTTGGAAGAAAGACTGTGTTTTCTACTCCCATAAAGAGTTACAGTCTTAGGATATCAGAGGGCAGTTTTATCCTGCCCTCTAGGGTCACTGAGTCAGAATCAACTCAATGGCAGTGAGGAGGCTATGTGTGTGTATGTGTGTATGTGTGTGTGTTCTCAGAATCACATGAGATAACAGATGGAAAGTACCTCCCCAGCCCCTGGCCCAGAACAGTGCTGTTGTTCATTCGTTCAACAAATGCCTTACTCTGTTCACAGCTGTGAACAAAGCAGAAAACTTCTCTTCTCCTTGGAGCTTATGATTGGGGGTGTGGGGGAGAGTGGGAGAGGGCAGCAGAGGGCAGAACAGGAAATGATGGTTTTCACTCCCTCCCTTTATGGAGGAGCAGACAGGAACCTAAAAATAAGGCTTGCTCAAGGCCCTACCACCCATTAGAGCCCAGTCCAGCTGGGTCTAGAGACCTTCTAGCTCTGTCACTGCACTGCCCAGCCTTAGGCCTTCTGGTCCCTGGCCGCCAAACACAGGCGCCACCAGGTGGCGCCCAGGTAGCTGTACCTCAGCGGGCCCTGCAGGCCTTGGCCTTGGCCTTGGTCCTGAAGCCCCAATTTTGGTCCGTCTAGGTCATCTCTGTCCGTCCTGCAGCTTGACGGGGTGGCTTCAGTGACCTTGCCTCGGGTGGAAGCCGCACTGGACGAGCTGCAGAGGAGGATCTGCCGCCTGGTGCTGGAGGCGCTGGTGGCCGAGCTCCAGGTGCGGCTTTGTTGGGGGGCGGGAGGTGGAGAGGCACTGTCTATGGGTCTGGATCGCCCTCCTACCCCCCAGCGCCATCCCCATCCTCCCCTCAGCCCCTGTTTGCGTCTCTTCCCTCGCGTCGGTGGCTATCGAGCCCCGAGCTGCTGGACGATGTGTGCCAGAAGACAGCGAGCTTCTGCAGGGACTTCTGGCGAGTGCGGAGCCCCGCGGGCCAGGTGCGATGGGAGGGAGGGCAGGGAGAAGCGCCGGTGGGAAAGGCGACCTGGCCCCGCCTGAGCACCTGTCCCACAGCTGCTGCTGGCTGAGGCGGAGCGCACCGTGGTGCTGCAGTACCTGCACGCGCTGATGCAGGGTCGCTTAGCGTGCCGCGGAGCCGCCGAACGCACCCAGGCCGCCGAGCGCCTGCGCCAGGATGCCACACAGCTGCAGGAGCTCTTCCAGGGTTTGGTAGGAATTCCTCTGGCGAGAGGCAGATGGGCGGGGCTCCGGGGCAGGGTGGGGGCCGAGAGGCGGCTGAGACTCTACCGCTTCGGAACAGGGCCTGGAGGAGGGCGCGCAGTGCGCACCAGTGCTGCTCGCCCTCCGGGAGCTACTGAGCCTCCAGGATCCCACGCTACTTGGCCTGGAAGTGGCGGGCTTGCGGCAACAATTTCCCGACGTGAGGTGCGCAGACCCCAGGCTCGGAGGGGGGGAAGCTGGGAGCCGTGACGCGGGGTGGGGCTGACTCGCCTCCGGGTGTCCGGCAGCGAGGACCACGTTTCTGCCCTCCTGGATCTGCGCGGGGACGTGTCCCGAGAGCAGCGCCTGGCCGCACTCAGCTCTCTGCAAGCCGTCCCGCCACCCTCGCCCCCCGAGGGACGCCGCATCCTCTTCAGCCTTGTCCCCGCGCCTACACCCGTGCCATCCTCCTGCCTTCCCTCGGGGCCCTGCGCCTGACGCCCATTGCCTGCAGAATAAAGTCATGGCCTGTGGTCGCCGGGATCTACGAGTACGTGTGTTGGAGAGGGGCTGTGAAATAAAAGTGTCCGCAAAGATTAGGGGTCACGTACAGTATGGTGTGGTATCCGGGCACCCGCCCGGGTTTAAGGACTGCGACCCTACCGGGCTAGGTTCGGCCGCTGTCACGTATCGGTGCTGGGATGGAGAGCTGGAAACCTCACGGCTCCGGAGGAAGGATGGGCCGAATGTGAGTCCCCGCCCAGGGGCGTGACGCGGCGAAGGACACCGCCCCTTTCCCCTGCCTGGCTCCGCCCCTGGCTGTGGGCTAGGGTGCGCGCCACCGCGGAGACTGACGTGAACTTGCGCACCATCCAGTGAGCGTACGCGCGCCCGAGTGGTGCGTCACCAGTGTAGGCTCCGGAGTGCGGGGCGGCAGGCGACAGGCGCTGCGGAACGGGAACAGCGGCAGCCAGTAAAGGAGAGAACAGGTTGGGACGCGGCACGCGGTTGGGACCCCCAGTAGGTCGAGAGAACGCTCCACGCGTGACTTCCCCTTAGCTAATAAAGAGCCCCCTTCCATTGTCCTCCAGCCCCGCCCTCCACTGGGCACGCCCTTCACCCCATCCCCCGCCGCTTATTGGCTGTAGGTCACGCCCCTCCTCTGTGTCTCGTCCCTATTGGCCCTTTTCCATGTTATCTTCTCCCGGTTCTTTTATTAGCGAGTGCCACACCCTCTCATTTGTCACTAGACCCCGCCTTCAGTTGTCAGGGACTCCTTTGGTCCATCCATTCATTCATCAGCGTGTAGTGCTGGGCGGTTGAAACTGGGGGCCAAATGAGACTTGTCTTTGCTCTCGGGTTGTTCAAGCGATGGGGGCGGGGGGCGGGGCAGAGGACACAGACCCCGGGCTCTGACAGGGATAGCCTAGGGTGGTAGAGAAGCTGCCCAGGCATTGGGGAGCCAGTCCCTATATCCCAGGAAGCCTTCACAGAAGAGGTGAGGCCTGAACGGAGCCCTGAAGGATGGTTAAGAGTTTGCTCCAGGAAGCCACCATTGGGAGGGCATTCCTGGCAGAAGGACCCGAGACATGAAAGAAGCAGGCGTATTCTGGTCGGTGCGAGGAGGTAGGTTAAATGAAAGAAGGGGAGGTGGAGAAGACGGGCCCAGGTCGAGCCCCAGAGGCCAATGAGGAGTCCGGGAAAGCATCCAAGGAGCTGAGGAGAGTGGAGGCTGAGGTCTGGAGCCACTCTGGGCAGTTGGGGCACTGCCCGAGGAGGAAGATCCTGCCTGGGAAAGGATGATGCCAGTTCTGAGATGAACTCTTGAGGGGGGGAGGGGTGTCCCTCATTTATTGAGCTTCTGCTCTGGGTCAGACACTGCCCTGGTCTCTGACAATAATACAGAGGGACAGCCAGTTTTGCTGTGCCCCAGATGATGACAACTGGTACGACTACAAGAAGGCAAGAAAGAGGAGTTTGTGGTGGAGAGGGCAGGGGTTTCCTGTTTCCTGATAGCGTGGTGCTGTGTGGGGACCTGAGGAGAGTGGGGCAGTGAGCCATGCAGGGACACACAGGGAAACCTTCCAGGCAGGGGTGGTGTGCTCCCTTAGAGGACCTTTTAGGCATGCAGGGTCAGAGAGGGAAGACTGGTAGACTGGCCTGAAGCTTTAGACAAAGCCTCCGCCAGTGTCTTTAGAGCCATGTCAATGGATGGGATCGCGCAGGTTGTGGTTGTCGATGGAGACGCATAGCCACCCTATGGAACAGAGGAGGATGTCCCCCACAGAGTCCGTTAGGTCATCATCTTTGTCAGCAGATTGCCAGGCCTTTTCTCCTGTGGAGCCGATGGTGGATTCAGCTGCCGACCTTTCGGTTAGCTGCCAACACTTGGCCCCGGGGCATCGAAACCCCTTTCTCACCTAGCGGCCCACTGCCATCAAGCCAATTTCGATTCATCTCGACTCTCTTGGATGAGCAGATTTTCTGAGACTGTACAGCTTACAAGATCAGACAGCCTCGTCTTTCTCCCCTGGAGTGGCTACTGGCTTTGAACCTTCAGGGTGGTGCTCAGCGGCCCAATGCTTACTCCACCATCGGGGCTCTTTCATCACCTAGGCCTCCCTCGAGGTAGACCCACTGGAGCCCATTCTGACTCACAGAGACCCAGTAGGACAGAGTAGAACTCCACCTGTGGGACACCTTGGGTTTCCAAGACTGTACGCCTTCATGAGAGCAGAGAGCCTCACCTAGGTAGCCAAGTACTAATGGAGAAAAGGTTCCATAGATAAGCCCTGGAACATTACTCTGTGTGTGTGTGTGTGTGTGTGTGTGTGTGTGTGTGTGTGTGTGTGTGTGTGTGTGTTGGAGTCGGGGGGCAGAGGGTCCTGGGAAGTAATGATGAATCAGCAAAGGAAACAGAGAAGGACCAGCCAGGGAGGGAAGTGGAGAACCAAGGAAGAGGGCCCTGGCAGCCAAGTGGACATGCCTTTCCAGGAGGATGTGATTAATTGCTCCGTATAAAGATCATCAGTGACCTTGGCAGATCTGCTTTGATGGGAGAGTAGGGACTTAGTAAACACTGCATTGGAGTGCACTGAAGACTGAACAGGAAAGAAAGAATTGGAGATGGAGTCGATGACTCTTAGGGGCAGCTGGAGGGAAAAGCAATGGGGCGGCTAGGTGAAAGCATTGACGGTCCAGCCAGGGTATTGTTTTGTTTCTCTGAGTGGAGAAATAACAGCATGGGCTTCCGCTGATGAAGAGACTCCAACCGGGAGGCTGAAACTGCTGAGGCAGGAGAGAGGAGAAATACTGGACTTGTGTCCCTGAGCAGGACAAGGGTGGGCTTGGCTGGAGAGAATGGAGTGGACTGAGGCCTGGTGCAGAGTCACGGTGAGCGGCCTGCCACTGGGCGTGGCTGACAGCTGGGATGGTGCCACTACAGAGGGAACAACTGCAGAAGAAGCAACTGCTAGGAGGGCAGGCCAGGGATTGGCTTGAGCTTCCCGAAGCTTCTCCCTGCTCCCCCACCCCACTCCAAAAGCTAGTGTTAATTTGGATTTGGACAGATGGACCTGGGAGCTGGCCTAAGCCAAGGTCAGATGGTTGGAGGAGGGAGGCAGGCCCAGGTGGGAGGGGAGGGGCTGAGAAGATGACTTAGGTGGCGTTTGCTGCTGCACGGTTCTGACTCTGGGCAGGGTGCAGGGGTGAGACTTACAGGAAAAGGGGGTCTCCTTGCTCTCAGGAGCTCACAGACTGAGGGGTCCCTAGGAACCCCTCATCCTGGATGGCCTGTGAAGCTCTTCCTCCTGCATTCACCCAGCCCAGCCTAGTTGGGTGCCAGCCAGAGGTTGGGGGAAGTCACCCAGACCTCAGCAAGGGCCTCTGGGCCTCACCAATTGCATGCCTTCCTGTGTCCTCAGAGGTTGACCGTGAGGGGAGTTGGAGTGGCCCAGCCGGATGTGACCCACAGGACAGAATGGTATTGGACTCTGGGGCCCAGGTGTATGAGCAGGCACCCCCCAGCCCACCTACCAGTCCCCTCTCCCTGCGCACCAGGCTAAAGCCTGCAGATGGAGATGGGCCTCTTCTATACCCCTGGTCTCGGCCCCTGCATCTGCCCCTGCCCTTGCCCCTGCCCCTGGCTCTGTCCGTTCCTTCAGCACTTCGGGATCCCCGGCCTGAGGCCAAGCCCCTCTCAGAGCTGCACTGCCGCAGCCACATGCGTCGCAGTGAGAGTACCTGCACCGTAAATTGCACTGGCCGCCAGGGGCGTGGCAGCCAGGGGCGAGCCCCACCTGCACGGGGATGGAACCCAGGCGTGGGCACCTTGCGGCCTGCAGCCTCCCTGCCTCACATTGCTAAGACCCGAAAGGATCCAGGCCGTGTTGCCAACAAGAGCCCCTGCATGTTGGTGGCCCTGCGACCGATCAACATGGACAGTGAGCGGGACAAGTTCTTCCAGTCGCAGTTCACCTATAACCCGCAGTTCAAGTACCAGGAGCCCATGCCCACTGCAGTACTGGAGAAGTACTGCGAGGCATCCGGGCAGTTCATTCACCAGGTCAGTCCCAACCGCCCCCCTCACTCAGACCCCAACCGCCCGAGAGGCCTGGCCTGATCAGCCCTCACTGCCCTGATCAGCCCTCACTGCCCTGTGTGCAGGCGGTTGGCATCATTGAGGCTGTCCTGGAGAAGTTTGGTACCTATGAACACTTTGAGGCCGCCACCGGGGGCCAGCTGCTGAGCAAGAGCCAGATCTGGTCCACTGTGCGCAAATACATGCAGAAGGAGGGCTGCGTGGGGGAGGTGAGCTTCCCCTGCCTGCCCAACCCACCCTGCCTCAAAGCACCTCAAAGCAGGCTGCCTAGCAGGTGCTGCCAGCCCACCTGGTAACTTTGCCCTGGTCTTTGCCCCTGGGAGTTGGGGGCTGGCTCAGAGCGCAGCTGGTGTCCGGCCTGGTGGCCTGGGGCTAGTGGCTGGCCATGGCTCAGGGCACTGTACCTGCAGGTGGTGGTGCAGCTGAGCGAGGACCTGCTGTCCCAGGCCGTGATGATGGTGGAGAACAGCCGGCCCACGCTGGCCATCAACCTGACAGGAGCTCGCCAGTACTGGCTGGAGGGCATGCTACGGCACGAGATAGGTCAGGGGGTCCGTGGGCAAGGGGGTAGTGGGGTGGGAAGGTGAATGTGGATGAGAGGGGATTGGGAACTGAGATGGGGTCAGTGAGGGGCCCCAGGAACCCCACCTCCCCTTTCCCCCCCTTGGCCCCCTCCTTGGCCTGCAGCCTCCTTCACAGAGATAGGAAGGGTCATGCCTGCACCTCTGGGGCTCAACCCTTAAACCCCTTCAAAGTGTCTCTCTCAGATCTCTCTTGGTGCTGAGGTTAGAGGGAACACCACTGGGCTCCCACCAGCCTGGCCAGCATGCAGGCCCTCCAGGGTGGGTAGGAGGCTGGAGGGATTGTCTGAGGACCTGGAGCCCGCTTCAGGAGGGCCTAGGGTTGTAGGGTGGCGCCTCTCTGCCTGCCCTGCCTCAGCAAGAAAGCTGCCACCGGCCTGCGTGCTGTCAGCATGATCAGGGCAGAAGGACAGGGTGCTGTCCGTGTCCACGCTCCCCTCACTGGGGCTGAGGACATTGTGACTTTGGGGCAGTGTGAGGATGTGAGCGAGGGGGGTGTCCTGCTTCCGAGACTCTACTGAGGAGGTTCTTCCCTTAGTGTGTGGGGTCGGGTGAGCTTTTGCCCGGAGAGGAGCGGGGAGGGAGGGAGGGGGTTGAAGGGAACTGTGACAAGAGCCCCTGAGTGGAGTGAGTCTGGGACCTGGAGGATGTGCGAGGTGGCCTTGCCAGATAGAGGTCCTGCTGCCAGGAGGCAGGGCCAGGGGGCAAGGGGAGGGTCCCTGGGCCGGCCCACCCAGCGCTGTCTCCCCACGCCCGACCTCCCTGCAGGCACCCACTACCTGCGGGGCGTGAACAATGCACAGCAGCCATGGCACAGCGCCGAGGGCCGGGCGCAGTTCGGGCTGCAGCCAGCCAACCCCACAGAGGAGGGTCTGGCCAGCCTGCACAGCGTGCTCTTCCGCAAGCAGCCCTTCCTGTGGCGGGCCGCCCTGCTCTACTACACCATCCACCAAGCCGCGCACATGTCCTTCCGCCAGCTCTTCCAGGACCTGGAGCGCTACGTGCAGGACGCCAACGTGCGCTGGGAGTACTGCGTGAGAGCCAAGCGCGGCCAGACAGACACCTCGCACCCTGGTGGGTGGCTGCATCAGAGGCCGAGTTGTCCTGAACTGGGGGCAGGAGCGGGGAGGAAGAGGATGAGGAGGGAGGGCGGGGGCAAAGGACCAGGCCTCCGATCCAGGGTCTCATAGCTCCCCTCCATCCCACGCTCCCAGGTTGCTTCAGCAAAGACCAGGTATACCTGGATGGCATCGTGCGCATCCTGCGGCACCGCAAGAGCATCGATTTCCAGCTGCTGACCTCACTGGGCAAGGTGAGAGGCCAGGGGCTGCAGAAGGCCGTCGGTTTTGCCCCCTTCCTGAACTATTCCAATCCTCGGATGGGTTGCTTGCCTGCGAGGTGGGTGCCTGGGCGCTCTAGAGAGGGCAGCGAGGGCAGAGGTGGACATGGGAGGCTAAAGGCCGGCTATATTGTCACTCAAAGAGGAGGGTCCAGGGTCAGAAGGCGGTCACGAAGGTATGGTGAGGACCAAGTCGCTGGCCCTAGGCATTTGTGCCAGGAGGGGAGGGGCGCAGTAGAGCTGAATGGCACAGGAGCTTGCTCTAGAAGCTTTTTACTGGATGACTTGTGGGGAGAGTGGTGGATGGGAGAGTCTCAGGGGCAGGGGGCAGGCTGACCTGGCCATACAGGTGGAGTGGAGAAAGGAAGGAATGAGCTGGGGAGTTAGAGAATGGCATCCCTCTTTTAAGTCAGAGCTTCCTGGCGGCTTGTTGGAGATGGGAGTCCGGAGGATGTCCTGGGGAAGGCTCACGAATGATTAGACACCTGAGTATGGAGGTGGGGAGAGAGGTTAGGCTGCAGGGAGGAGTGGGGTGTGTACACAAGGCAGAAATGAGAGCCGAGACCCAGGACTGAGCTGGAGGTGCATATGTCGGAGGACAGGAAGAGGAAGGTGAAGTGGCAGAGAAAGGAGTCCCAGGAGCACTGGGTCATGAGTATTCATCTAGGGTTGAGACCAGCGGCCAGAGTGCTCTGCCTACTCCTGAGACCCAGTGCCCTCCCCTTCAGGTATCTTATGAGGATGTGGACCACCTGCGGCCCCACGGGGTGCTGGACAAGGTCCGGGTGCCTCACTTCATGCATGACCTGGCACGCTACCAGCAGCAGTTGGAACACATCATGGCCACCAACCGGCTGGATGAGGCAGAGCTGGGCCAGCTGCTGCCAGACTGAGATTGGTCGGGGGGCACAGGCGAGGCCCTGGATAGGGGGGCTGCCGGCTGGCCCCCTGAACAAGAAGCTGTCTGCTCTGTGCTTCCACAGCCCGGGTGTTTCTTGGAGAGCTGGGAGGGCAGGAGCATCCTGGGTAGGACACTGGCTAGCTTCCACGAAGCTGGGGACCAGCAGCCAGCCGCATGGCAGGCAAACCAGTGATGAACAGAGGGGAGGCTGGGCCAGCTGGGGAGCTGAGCATGGATTGGGGAGGGGGGTTGGGAATAGAAACTTGTTCCTGCATGAGGCACCCTGATGTTTGATGAGCCCAGCCCTTCCCTTCCCCCACCTGGTCCCTTGGTGCTCCATCAGCTTCCACGCTGTCTACCTCTCACTGGGTCCTGGTGGAGATTGGGACCCTTCTCCTGGGGTGATGGCCTGAGCCTGGGCTCCTAGCTTTCACACAGGCTGAAGGGGCAAGGGTCCTTGTGGTAGAGACCCAGCTGGCCTGGGATGGGCTTCTCAGGACTTTGCCTCTACCACGGGTTGCATATAGTCCTTGTGTATGCGCTCTGCTTCCTAAGGTTGAGAGGCAGCCCCTGAAGGGGGGGGATGGCTCCCCTAGAAGGCACTGGTTGTTCTCAGCCCTACTCCCATCGCTCTCTCTCTCTGCCTCAGGCCTGTGAGCCCAGGGCAAGCGCTCATCCACCCCTGCATCCACCCCTTTCCCCTTTCCCAGCCTCAGCTAGTCCTGTCTTTGCCTTCACAGCTGGTTCTCATGAAGGGTGATGTAAACTGACAGCACCCAGTCAGCAAACCTGAGGGGCAGCCCCCTAGGGTTTGTTGTCCCTAGCCCTGAGCCCCCCTGGACCAGGGAAGGCGCAGAGGTAGCTGTTGCTTCCAGTTTTACCGCAGACTCACTGTGTGAGGCTGACCCAGCCCCACAGCTTCTCTGGGCTGCACATTTCCCACCAGTAAAACGCAGAAACACAGCCGGAACGTCCTTATTCATTCAGTCAAGAACGCGGACGCCCAGAACAGCCCCTTGTTTGCCAATGACTGGTCAGTGTCCTCACTGAACTCCCAGTGCAGGGGCAGCCAGGCCCTACAACAGCGATGGCAAGTCTGTGGGCTCAGTCTACCTACCGAAGGATCCATGTTGTCCCTCCCGCTAATCTCTCACCCAAGGCTTTCTGAGCTCTGAGAGAGAAGCCCCCTTTGCTAGCTCTCTGATTTAAGCCCAGGGCTGTCATGCAGGGGAGTCAGTGCCTGGGCTACTGAGGGTGGGCATGGGGCTGAGCCTTGGGCATGGAGGGACATAGAGCTTACAGGTCTTTGGTACTCAGGGGCACGCACCCAGCTACCACCAGTTCCGGAACAAAGACCAGGAATCATGGAGCGAGGCCAGGCCGCCCCCTCAGGCGTTTGTTCACTTCCTTAGGCGCTGGGTCACTTGGAGGCTTGGTGGCAGTGACCCCGAGTCCCTCCTGGTTTGGGCAGGAAGCCGCTGGTAGGTGCTTTGGTCTTCAGAAATCTAAAAGCAGAAGATAATTGGGGGGGTGGCGGTGTCAGTGAGGTGGGACCCACCGGCCACTACCACTTTCCACTTCCTGACCCTCCAGCCAGTCAGGTGTAGGGTTAGGCCAAGCACACACCTTCTGACCCCGCCTCTGCTGCGTCGTCCCAGGCGCAGGAACAGTTGCAGTCGGGCTCCGGCTCGGGCGCAGGCTCCGGCTCCGGCTCCGGCTCGGGCGCAGGCTCCGGCTCCGGCTCCGGCTCGGGCTCCGGCTCCGGCTCCAGCTCCGGTTCAGGCTCTACCTCCAGTGCAGGTTCTGGATCCATTTGGGGTTCTGGCCCTGGCTGAATCCTGTCAGAGGCTTCCGGCTCGGGCTCCTCGGGGATCCCAGACTGCACCGCCTCAGAGCTCTCAGGGCCCCCAGCATCATCCCCTTCAGAAGCCCTGGGCAGTCCGGGCCAAGCAGTTCCCGAGCCGGGAGTCTCGGGCGTCCAGTGGCCAGGACATGGAGGGTCGTAGCTGCGGTCCCGGTAGCCTGGGGTGGGGGTGAGGATTGTTTTTAGTACCCTTTCTTACTTTTCTCTGCAAACACCCAATCAGGAGACAACTCCGCCTCCCGCTTAGTGTTGGCCCCGCCCCCGCTCCGTCCCCGCCTTCTCGAGCGCGCTCACCAGGGCCCACGTGCTGCCAGTCCCAAGCCGGGTCCGGCGCGCGCGCGGTACGCTGGGCACAGCGCAGCAGCTCGCTGCAGGCGGCCTCGCCCTTGCCCTGCACCACCAGCAGCAGGCGGCGCACCCTGCGCTCGGCGTCGGGCAGCGCGTCCAGCGCCTCGTACTCCGCCTGGGTGAGCACGCCCTGTGCCAGCAGCGAGTCCAGCAGCAGCCCGGAGTCGGCTTGCAGCGTCTCCACCAACCGTTTCCGCTCGCGATCAATCATCTCCGATGGCCGCTCCTGCGCGTTGCCCATGGTCCAGGCTGCATGATGGAAGGGCAGAGGGCTAATGGGCGCCAGAGCTCCCTCGCCCTGACCTCCAGTGTGCGAGCGCCCGACGTTCACCCTGAGTGGGCTTCTGTTCATAGCCCTCTCTGGCCCTGTGGTCCTGTCTCTTCCTCTCTCCTTTTGTGTGCCGAGTGCTGCCAAGTCTCTCTATCCCCCCCTCCCCCAGCGCCCCCAGTCACCGCATACTGTTACAGGCCTGGCCTATCCGGCCGCCCTTCCGGAGAATTCAGTCACTCCCATAGCGTAGGACTGATTGTGCCCATTTTACAGATGAGAGGCTTGAAGTGAGCAAGAGGCGGAGCTGGAATCAGACTTGGTCCAGCTTGAGTGCAGAACGAAATGTCAGCCCTAACCAGCTGCCGCCACCCCTCCCACTGCCCCTCAGTGCTCTAGCCACGTCCCACCACCCTGCACAGCCAGACCTTTCTACCGCCCTCCACCACTCAGTGTTCTCAGAATTCCTGAGCCCCTGGCACCTCTTTGAGCCTATGCAGCTGTTGTTCCCTAAGTCTGGACAGCCCTTCCCCTCCCTTCACCTGATGGGCCCATTCTCCAAGACCCAAATATTCCCTTGTCCACTCCCAATTCTAATTCAGGCAGGCTCCTTCGGTAAGCTCCAGGGAACACCATACACCCTCACCGCGTCATAGTTTACTATACCACCGCGCACTGCACACACACTCGGCGAGAACACACACGCCCTCGCCACCCACGGTTAGCAAAGGGCTTCCAAGTACTCCCAATCACTGGGGTGGGGGTAGGCATGGGAAGAGGCGGGAATCAGCATCTAAGTATCCATTGAATTGGCTCCCCCTTCGCCACCACTCCTTCCTGATGGCCGCTGCCTCCTCCCTTCATCCCAAGCTGTGCCCTTTGTCTGAGCTGGGTACTTGCCACCCGGGCTGATTGGTGCTCAAATGCTCTTTCTGCCCCTGAGCCAGTCTTTCAAGATCCTAGGGCCTTCAAGATCCTTCTCAGAGGGTCCTGGTGAAACTTGTGGGAGCCTTTGCGCATGTGCACCCGCCCGCACCGCGGAAGCCCTTCCCTCTCTACCCACTCCCAAGCTTCAAGGGTCCTGCATGGGCCGGGGCTCACCGACCTCCTCCAGGCGTGGTTCCCGGGCGTGGGACTCCGCTTCTGTCTAATCTCAGTGTCTCTCCCTCCCGGAGCCCAGTGGGTGGGGCTGTCTCACTCACACGGCAGATGACAGTGCAGAAAATGCTGGGCCATGGCTCCCGCGGGAGGGGGAAGGCGGGGACCAGGAACACAACAGCTGTGGCGGGGGCAGGGGGGGCCCCAGGGCTGCCAGGAACCAGCCCGGCAGCGGCCAACTTAGGTCCTACGTCGTACGCTGGCTAGGGATGTAGCCATACTCATAGTTGGCTTTCTCCTCTGACTCCCAGCGCCCCGAGATGGGTCTGGGAAGGGCGGGGGCATAGATAGTTCGCTTTGCTGCCCCATTCTGGGCCTGCCCATTCCCAGGAATTTTGCTCCAGTGTTCTCAGGGACTCTCTCCTTTGGGTCTTGGGTCTCTCCTTTCTGCCGGTCACAGCTGATCCTCAGAGATAGGGACTGGTTTACCCAGGGCCATGCAGAGCCGGACTTGGCCTGGAAACTCGCTAGGCAGGAAAGCTACCGGTGGGCTCCCCAGGCCCCTCCACCTCCGTCAGGACTGCCTCCACTCAAAACCATAGGATCTGGACGCATCTACGAATGAATACAAGGTCGCCCTCTACCCACGACTTCTATGCTTCTTAATCTTAGAGAAAAGAGACCAGAAACTGAGAAAAATGCAGTTTTATATGCAGGGATAGGCAGGGGAGTGAGAGTGGCTGTGGAGTACAGGAGCCGGGCTTTGCTCAGCCTTAGGCTGGGGGCTCCTGGAAGCCGAGAAGAGTGAGCCCCGTGGTACCAGCCCCTGGGCTTAGCTGGCTCTCCAGGGGAGGGCACTCAGGGGCAGGGGCTGGCTCCGGAGCGCTGGTAGGAGACTTGGCAATCCGGGGGACTGTAAATGGTGAAAGCCCCAGGCAGGCTGAGGGCTGGCCCTCCCAAAGCCGCTGGGACATCCAGCAGGAGTGGCCTCCCAAGGTGGGAATCCTTAACTAGAAAGAATGGAGTTTGGAGGAGAGAAAGGAGTTACTATTCCTCCTCCTCCACTTCTTGGAGAGGCAGTGCCCCCCTGCACACTCTGAAACACCTATTGGGTCTCTCCCCCCCAGCAAAGAGCGAGCATGTGGTTGAGGGAGCTCTCAGAAGCACAGCTTGAACTGGGGGTGCAGGCAAGCTTTCCTTCAAAACAGATTTGTCCACTTGTTATCCCTCACAACACTCCTGGACTCCCCAGGTCGATAGTCACCCTAACATTACCTGGGCCCTGGGAAGTGAACCCCTTGATTGACAGCTCAGTATCACCTCTCTCTGGCATTGAAGGCTGCACCTGCATAGAAGCACCCCAGGGCAGCTGGGTGGGAGGTCTGGGGAATTCTCTAGGCTCCTGGGCCAGTGCTCCTCACAAGTCAGGATTTTGACTCTGAGAGCACTAGCCCAGACCCACAGGGCTTGGTTAAGCTGGCCCCAGGCCCCGGTCCCCCAACCTCAGCCCCTCTTACCAGGGATGGCTCCAGGTTCACATCCATCAGGGTCCACTCGCACCCTGAGAGGCTGGGGTCTAACACCTGAGGGGAGCATGAGGTGAGGTCAACAGGGTGGGGGTAGGGCCTCCTGTCCTAGGCCATGCCCTCAGCCACAGGGGTACTCACATCCAGGGGCCCTGCAGGCTCCAGACTTTCTGGGGAACCTTGAAACAGCATGGGAGGCAGCAGACTCTCTGAGCTCCGGCACCTCTCCAGGTCTAGAGTCTCCCTATACACAGAGAACTGCTGTTGGCTGGCAGTGCCCACCCTCCTCTGTTAGATCCTCCACCCCCAACATACTCAGAAGGTCTCAACTTCCTATCTGGGCCCTGGGTTTGGGCTGTGGGGTTGGGGTTGGGGGAAATACCCCCTTCCTATGCTGCAAGTATACATGTCCTTGGCTCTTAAAGTGCTACGCACATCATGGAGCAGTTACCTCAGGGAGCTTGTGTGACTCAGAGATGTGGACTGACCCAACCAGTGGCAGGAAAGTCTGCACTTTAATAAGCTCCCCATCCTCCGTCCCCTACCCCTTTCCAGCAAGTAGGTTCTCTTTTGTCTGCAGAGTAGCCTCAGCCTTCATCACCAGCAGCAGGCTGTTCTTACCTGGCAGGAACCTCCCTGTGGTCCCTTGGTTCAGGCTGCTGGGCATTCCGGGACCCCTTGGGGCTGACGCGCCCTTTCCCTTCCAGGATGGCCTGGACCACAGCCACAGGCAGTAGTGGGGGGGCTGTCACGCAGAAGTCACACTGGTTTGGGGCCAGGGCCAGCCCAGCCTCGACTTTCCCCCCTGGACTGGCTGGCTCTTCTTTGAGCAGGGCCAGACCCTTCTCCCTGCACCAGAGAAAAGCTTCAACCAGACCCTGGCACTGCCCTCTCCCCCAAGCCCGAGAGCCATCCCCCAGCTGCCAGCCCCTTCTCCACTGGCCCCCAAAAGAGTAGCCCCCATCCCCTTACCTCCCACCACCACTGGAGGAAGGAAGTCCAGGCCCAGTTGGGGATCTGGGGTCTTCGGGAAGGTCAGAGATGATGGGCCCCCTGGTCCGGAGCGGGCTGCTGAGCCTGGAGGTGGCCTCTGGCAGTGGCTACAAGTAGAAGGCCAATGCTAGCCCCTGACCTCATGTCACAGGGAGAGCCAGAACTCCACAGCACCCACCAGGTCCAAGTCTGAGGAAAGAGGCCTGAGGGGCTGAGCTGGGGTCTAACAGGAAGTTGGAGGGGGGTGCTCTCTTCTTTTGGAGGGAATGAAAAGACTCATCACAGCCCAGCTGTCCCCTTAGGGAAGAGAAGCAGTGCCCACTTACTGACTGGATAAAGTAGGGGTCCTGCAGGAGGGCCCCAGGTAGCGGGCAGCTGAACTTGGCAGGTGGTGGGCATGCGCCCCCCTCATCCAGCATCAGGGACCTGTGCAGGGTAGTCTAGGCGTGAGCAGGGGGCAGGGCAGGCTCTGTCCTCATCTCATGCTCTTCAGCCTCCCCCTCCCTCCCACAGGCCCCAGCAGCCAAGTCAGCAAAGCTGAGGCCAGTTGCCAGGGCATCAGTCACATGCTGGAGGCAGAAGGGGCTCCCGCAGAGATGGGGGCCAGGCAGGATAGCCGATGGGGAGGGGGTGGGGAAGGCTGATGGGGTGAGGAGCCCTACAGGGAGGGAAAGGAAGGAGGATGCCTAGAGGAGGATTCTGGGGAGGGTGTTCCAGACAGGGGCCTCTGGAGGGTCCTGGAAGGGCGGAGGCGGAGAGATGGGGCCGGGCCAGCGCCCCTGACGCGCTCACAGCTGTCTCTTGGTTCCGGTGCTGCTGGACCCTGCCGGAAGTGGCCCCAAGAGGCACTGGATCAGCTGAGGAAGAAGCAGAGGGCCAGTTGACTCTCCACCAGCCTCCGCATTAACCGGCAGGAAGAGGAAAACTTGGGAGTTGACGGATGGGAGTGGGACAGGGCGGGAAGGGGCTTGGGAGGCGGAGCGAGTAGAGGGTGAGGAAAACCTTGCCAATGACCCGGTGCTGCTGCCCGTGGCTCTGCCGCAGGGTCACCACCTCCCGCCAAAGGAGCTCGTTCTGCCTGCGGGAGGGGAGAAGGGAACTGAGGCACCCGAGAGCCCGCCCAGAAGACAGAAGAAAGTGCAGGCGGAACCGAGGCCACCTGGATGGTCCCCAGAAGCCTACGCTGTGGCCCATTTGTCCGAAGAGGAGTGCTGAGGCCCTAGAGAGGAAGGGGCTGCCCAGAGCTCCCCAGGCCGGTCCCCTCCCTCTCTCCCTCCCTCCCTCCCAGACCCCACCTCGGACCGCACTGCCTGAGCTCGCGCAGCCGCGCCTCCGCGCTCTCCTGCGCTCCCCGCAGAGCTTGCACTTCGCCCAGCAGCCGCCCCAGGTCCTCCGGGCGCCAGCGACCGTCGTCAGTGCGCAGCGCGGGCACCTGCGGGCAACAGTCACCGTCCAGATAGGGCTGCGGAGGGCAGGGCTGCTGTCCCCACACCTCCACGCCGGCGGCAGCAGCCACCTTGCGCCGCACGCGCTCCAGGAGCTGCTCGTGACCGCGCAGGAAGCTCGGGTGTTGGAATTGGACGTGGTCGCGCTCTGGCCGTAGCAGACCTCCCTGTTCGATGCTCACCACCTTCCGGAACCCGTCTGGGGAGAGATCAGGGCGTGAATGCGCCCACCCTCGGGCACCCGTCCCACTCCTCCAACCCCCCCTCTGCTCCGGGTGCGGCGCGAGGACTCACACATGTTGAGTTGTCGCACAAAGCTGGCCATGTTGCTGTGTTTGAAGTACTGGGGCAGCACCTCCTTGGCGAAGCGGTTCTGGTCACTTACGAGGAAACTGGTGCCGCTCTGCGGAGAACCCAGGAGAAATCCGAAGGGATGGTGGGCGGTGGGGGCACAGGGGCACCCCTGCCCTGGCCCCTTCTCTGCCCTCACTAACTCTGGGAACCCGTCCTGCGCACAGGACCACGGGGACGGGGGCCAAGGCAAGTGAGAACCGGCTGTGTCGTCCAGATGAGAAGCTGCCAATGCTCCCCACCGGAGCCGGCCAGTTCTAGGAAAGGGGTCTGTTTTGGAGCAGCGGACATCGCTTGATGAGTCGAGAGCCGTGCCCGCCCCCCGCCCCCGTCCCTTCTGCTGCATCAATCACTAAATGGTACTAAATGACTTCAAGTATCCCTTGGGCTCAAGGTCTCCAGCGGGCGCCTACCCAAGTGTGTCCCAGACCCAGGACTCCAAGGACCCACAGCCCCATCCCAGAAAGGGGTTCGGTAGGGCATGGAGGCGGGACCCCTGGGAGAGTCTTGGGACCCCGAGCCCTCACCGGGCTCCAGCAGATCAAGTGGTCCGTGCCCGGGTCGCCCACCAGAGCCCATAGCTTCCCCAGGAAGGCAGGCACGGGGCTGGGGCCCGGCTCCGAAGGCAGTGGGGCGGACGCTTCCTGCATAGCGCAGTCTCACCCGGCTCTGCGCTCGCTCTCTCCACGAGTAAGCGCTGCCACAGTAAGTGCTGCGTGTGTCGCCAGCCCCGCCCTACTCCGCCTCCCGGTGCAGTCAGGCGGACCCACGTGCGCGGAAACCTGGGGCGGGGCTCAGCCCGGCCTTAGTGCCCGCCAACCCCCGGGGAAAGCTGGGATTAGAGATGTGTGCAGTGTGGAGAGCCAGGTTCATCTATACCGAGTTCTAGAAGGAAGAATTGGAGGACTCGGGGAAACCAGTAGGAAGGTGTGGGGCGGGCGAGGGGAAGTTGGATAACTAGAAGAGAAACTGACTTCCACCGAATCCTAGGGCCTCTGCACTCCAAAGGGGCAAGTGCCATGCCCCTAATCCCCACAGCAGGCCTAAAGATCAGGATCCTTCAAAGCCCTGTGCCTCCCCATCCCTCTCCCCACAGAGTTGACCTCCATCCAGGACTCCGAGGTAATGCTGAATTTTATTGACCCCTCACCCCTGAGTCCCGGATGTACCCTCCCCGCCCCAGAGCCTAGGCGGCAGTGAGCAAAGGCTAGCGAAGGGTGACTTTGGTACATCTGGAACTCAGCTTGGGCCATAGAGTTTGGGCGCCTAGAGTGTGCTCCCAAGGTCTCAGCTCCAAGAGGGTCAGGAGGCCTAACCCCCCAAGGCAAGCGGGTAGCAGTTGGGGCGCTCTTAGGCACCCTAATCCACTGCCCAGCGAGGTGGACGTAGCATTCTCACGCCACCAGCGTGGGCCGCCAAGGATGCCGCTCACGGGTCAGTTTGAGCGTGTAGCTGCGCAGGCGCGGGCAGTGCGCGAGGAAGGCGCGCCGCACAGCCGGGCGCACCACGCAGAAGCAGTGCACCTCGCGCAGGGCCGGGCAGCTTGCCGCCAGGGCCTCCAACGCTGCGTCCAGCTCGGCCGAGGCGGCGGCGTGTACTTCCAGCTCGCGCAGGTTCGCAGCGTAGTGACGAGCTGCAAAGTGCACTGGGCCTGCGGTGTCCCCGGAGAGGTTGAGGCGCAGCGCAGCCACAGGCACCGAAGGCTGGAGGACTCGGCGCACAGTGTGGGTGCAGAGCGCCGTCTCCAGCTCCAGCTCCACGGCCAGCCTCGGGTGGCGGCAGCGCAGTGCAGCCCAGGCCTGGTCTGGCAGCTCGGGCGCGCGTGTATCCTCCGGAGACGCGCACCGCAAGGCCAAGAGATCCAGAGGCGCACGGTCCGGTGCCGCCAGCACCCCGAGGGCGGCGTGGGATAGGCTGGCGAGGTGCAGGCCGAGGACGCGCAGGCTCCGGCAGGCCACCAGCAGCTCGAGCACAGAATCGGGCCCCATGCTGCCCACGAGAGTGCAGTTGTTCAGGAAGAGGCTCTGAAGCTGGGGGCAGCCGTGTGCCACCTGCAGCACCAACGCGTCGTCCAGCATGAAGGGCAAGCGCCGCAGGTCCAGGTGGCGCAGCGCACCGGCAGTCTGGCAAACAGCGTGCACCGCGCCCAGGACATCTCTGCCTGAGTCAAAGAGAGGCTTCTCTCCGCTGCACTCCAGGAGCAGGCTTCGTAATCCCGGTCGGCGGCCCACCAGCTCCTTCAGCAGCTTCGTGGCCGCCTGGCGGCTCGGCTTCTTTGCTGGCTCAAATTCCAGCTGCAGATTGTGTACGTGGTCCAGGCAGGCAGACAGACACGGCGGAAGCATGCCTTCCCACTCTGAGTCGCAGCTTGTGTCCGGGCAACACAGAAAAGGCACGGGCTGTGTCAGACAAGGGAGAGGGTCCTCTCCTCCCCCTCAGCCTAGGTTCTACCTGCAGCCCTGCCCTGGCACCCAGCTCCGACTATAGCCAGAGACACAGAGGCAACCTCTGAAGCGAAGAGGGACACCGCCCCCCCCTACCCATGTACATGCACACACCGTTTGAAGAACATCAGTTGCATTTGTCCCAGGTTGGAACTCTAGCAGGGGGAGCCTCAGATATTTTAGACATCAATTCTCTCCGGAAATTCATATCCTTTCTGGGCCACTCCCTGGGGGAACCTGCGGGTCATTTTATTTTTTGTGGGTCATTATTAAATCTCTCTGATTCCCCTTCTTCTCTGCACAGGGGATAATGGCCCCTAGCTACCACAGAAGGATTTCACAAACACTAAATGAATTAATATACATAAGGCACTTCAAACAGTGGCTATTATATAGGGAATGATCAGCAAATGTTGGAGATCAATTTGATACTAAATATGGAGTTATAGAAGGTCCATCAATGAGCCTCACCAAATAACACCTCCCACCCCCAGCACACTCAGAAAAAGGGCAGCAGCAGGGGAGAGATGCCAGCTCACCTAACTTTTGTGTCATGCCACACTGTGCTGCAGGCGGCAGCGGCAGCCCAGGCTCTGCAGACCTGGGCAGCGGTGGTGCGGTCCCGCAGGGGCAGGTGGCAGAAGATGAGCGCCAGCACCTCTTCGGGCAAATGCCCCCTGGGTTCCGCCATAGTCAGGGCTCAGGAAGCCTGAGGGGACACTGGAGCCTGGGTGCAGAAGAGCTAGTTACTGGGGGCTGGCTACAGAACTGCGGAGGCCAGTGCAAAGTGAAAATGAAAGATCTCTCATTTAAAAAAAAATAAGTATTTCAGGACTGTGACAGCAGAACATCTACTCAAGCAGGAAGCCAGGGGCAGGACCCGGTGCTGTGGAGCAGGTCACGGGCCCATGGAGTGGGCCTTGGAGGCCAAAGGGTCTAGCCATTTCCTAGAGGAGTCAATGCCTCCTCATGGTACCCTTCATACAGCGCTGTGGTCCTTCCATAGGACTCCCAGTGGCCAGTCTGCTCTCCACGCCTTTCTTCAGAAGCACGCTAGTTGCACTGGATACACCAACCTTTGGGGTGCTTTGCACTAGCAAAGTGCTTCTGGCTCACCTTTAAACAAACGCGTTCACACTGGATTAGAAATCACACCAACCTATGAGCAAAAGTCTATGAAGCCAACCACCCGCACTCTGGAGGAAGCTCTCAGATCTTACCTGGGAGAAAAATTCTTTCTTAGGAGGAAGTTAGGACAGTTGGCTCCAGACAACCCTTCCACCTCTCAGCTGGCCTCTTCTGGTCTTGACAGACAGATAGACATGCATGCCGAGTACCCAGCACTCAACCAGAGCTGACCTGAAGACCCAGACTAATCTACCGGTGACGGTGGGGGGTTGTTACTGATTTTTTCCAGAAATTGATCTTGAGGCATAGGATCCAAAGCTTGTCTGGAGGGCCACTGAGGGCCCTCTTTGTTTACCACACGGCATTCACGACCAGACCTATTGAATCAGGCTCTCCGCAAAGGGTGGGGTCGAGAATCCAGCATTTCTGATAGCTTCGGGCTGGGATGGAGTGGGGTAGGGGTTGGAGAGATGGAGTAGATCCACCCGCCCTTAGTGGAGGAAAAGTCACCCTTTCCCGTTCTATTGCTAGTGACTACAGGGTTAATGGGGCGGCAGCTTTAAAAATAAGATTTTTCATTGGCAAGGACTACGAGCCAATCCAGGAGCAGAGGCGCCCGCGGGGCACAGCTAGGCCCGCCCTGGAGAGGGGATGTACCCTCCCCTTTCAGGGTCCGCAAGTCCGGGTACTTCCTCTGGGTGGTTTGACAGGCTCTCTAGTATCTGAGGGGCCCCAGGATTCAAGTCCGGACGCTGATCTCCTAGCTTGGCCGGTTCGATCTCCGCAGACCCTCACAACCCGAAGAGCGGCCCTTTGGGAGGGAGAAAGGAGAAACGTGGGCGTCCTCTCTGACGTTGCCGATTTTATTTTAAGGTCCTTGTAAGTCTGAACAGCGTTTCGTTCTGTTATTCTCCTACACTGGGTCGCTAGGAATCGGAACCGTTTGCATACACAACGACACAAAAACGCTTGACACCACTCCCGGTTAAATGTCCAATGTCCCTTTGTCCCGGGCTCAAATTCGCTCTTGGAATTTGGGCCACTTGTAGCTTGGGGTTTCAGATACGTTCAGCCCAGCTTGAACTTCCTGGGACCATAGTTACCGCGTTCAAGTGACAAAGAGTAAACAGGTCAGCGACCAATGACCCCCGATCCCCAGGGAACACCACACAATTCTGGCCACCAGGTCCTGTTCGGCCCGTCCTAATCCCTGCCGGAGCCGGCCAGCCTCTGATCTCTAGGTCCCTGGCTGCTTCCTGCCGCCTGACTTAGGGCGCTGGTGTCTTACCTACACAGTGGAGGAGGTGGGCTCTGCTCTGGGGCAGGGGAATAGCTGCAGAGGACAGCTTGGCGGGCTGGAGCCACCCGGAACGGGATGCGGGGCGGGGCGGGGGTGGAGAGTGGGGCGGGGATGGAGGCGGGCTCGGCGGGGGCCCCGCCCCCGAGGCTCGGCGCACACCCGGAAGTGGCGCTGGTCTGGAGGAGCCCGGCGGGCGTGGGAACCTAGGCCCGGCCGAGGCGGCCAGGTTAGTGCGGAGGGTGGGTGGTCTCCTTAGCCGCCGTGAGAGGGGAGGCGAAATCCTGGTTCGGGAGCGGGAACTCGGCGCGGCTGTCACTGCCAGCCAGCCTGGTGGGCGGCCTATAGAGGCGGTAGGCATGGACCTTGCCCACTGTTGGTTTCAAGCCCGAACTAGAGACAGGACCCTGCGGGCGAGAGGGCAAGGAGGTGGTACTAACCCCACGTAGGTAGGAGCAGAGACCTCCTCCCGCCTCAGCCGGTAGCACGTGCGAACCTGGGTGGGTAGTGGGAGCCTGGGAAGCTCCCCAAGAGAGGCCGGGAGAGATGCAGCTGAGTAATAGGGTCACTTGGGGAGCGGGAGGCCTCTGTCCCGGAGGGGCCACGCCTGCCTGCAGGCTCTGCCCGCTCATCGGCTGGACAAGGGGCTGCCCAGGACTGTGACACTATGGCCACGTGGCACCGCGCCTGGCTAGCCCCTGATACACACACGGGGCAGAGTCGGTGCCCGGTAAGTGTTCCCAGGACGTAGTCCAGGCGCTTCCACCCAGCCCACGGGTGACAGTCCAGCTGGGTGGGGCGCGGGGCTTCCCAGGACAGGTTTCTGCGGCAGGACACGAAAATGGGAGTCTAGACCTCATCTCTGTCCTCGTAAAACCCTTTTTACCTCCAGCCTGCGGCCCTGTGTGACCGCCCACACTTGTCTAGCTCCAGAGTGAGTGCTTCCTGGCCTGAGTGGTGCCGGTGGGGGGTGGGGTAGGTATTGGACTGCTAACAGCAAGGTCAGCGGTTCAAACCCACCAGTTGCTTGAAGTAGGAAGATCAGGCTGTCTGTCTCTATGAAAATATAGCCTTAGAAGCCCTGTAGGAACAGCAGCGTTTGCTTATTTGTTCTTTTGGCAGGTCTGATGGGTAGCCTCACCCCACCCCACCAACTTCCACCCTTTGGGGGTGGGGCGCATATCCGTGGGCATCCCTCCCTAAGGCTGAAGGTTAGGAAGATAAGATGTACAAGATAGAAGAGGTAGGAATCTCACATCCAATGGTCACTCTTTCCCGGTCCTCTAGTCTCCCAGGCCCACATCCCCAGGGCCTTTCCACTTCTCTGCCCTCCTACAACCCACTGGTCACCTGCAGAATCTTGCTGTGTGCTTTTTTTTTTTTTTTTAATTTTTAACTTTATTATTTTGAAGGATTTCCCCTGTAACTCTCAAGAAATGTATTTATTTTACATAAAGTAGAAAGTATTGGTAGAAAATTAAAGTCACCCCAAATTCGACCATACAGAAAAAAACAATATTCACTCTCAAGTCATGTTCAGGTGATTGCTACTGATTAACTTCGTAAATATTAGCGTTTTCAACCCAACTACTGTGGGGCGGGGCGACTCCAGGAGGAGCCCTGTGCTCAGACCCAGGGCAGCACGGTCACCAGGTGTCATTTGATGCTGGAGGGTCCTTGGTCGCTGCACTCAAGTTAGGATGAGTCCAGGATCAGATCTGATCTGCAGCCCCACCCCCTCCAATGATGCCCAGGGTTATGGTCCTGGCTCTACCTGACACCCGCCCCCCTTCTGAAGTTCCCCATTATTCACACAAATAGATGCCTGCTGGGGCCACCCACCTGTCCTGTTCAGAACAGTGATACCCAGGGCATACACAGGGTCTCAGCACCTCTCCCCTCTGAGGGGCCCTGCTCTGGCTGGATGGGAAGGAATTCGTAGACCCATTTGAGTTGTGCATGACAAGAGCCCACCTCCAATGGCTTCGGATGAAAAGGAAATGATTTAGCCTGCGGAGGAGCTGCGGAGTCCAGGGTGTCCAGGCTTTGGGGACACCTGGTCCAGAGGCATAGTGCGGCTTGGAGCACGGCGCTCTGTCTCTTGGCTGTGTCTTCCAGTAAGGGCTCCTTAGTCTCAGCCAAGTAGTGGCTAAGCCGAGCTGGCCCCTCCAACCAGTTCTGCCCCCAAATGAAGAGAAGCAGGGCTGCCCCAACGAATGCTGACTTGCTGAAAGGCACATCGGAGATGCTGATTGCCTGGACTGGTAGCCAGAGAGAGGGATTCGCCCTCCCAACAGGTACTTGGAGGAGGAGGAGGGAGACGACCCTCATGTTCATTTGGGCAGGCTCACACTCACTCGGGCATAGTTGGAAATGAAGCTAGGAAGCAAAAGCACGAGGTAGTGGGAGTGCCGCTGAGAGAGCTGCTAAAGGCTCCAGTTTAAGCCAAGTCCAAGGCCAAGACAAGAGGGGCATGGGCAGTGGGGCAAGGCCTCCGTCCTGGAAGATGCCTCCTTGCTGTCAGCTGTGGCTTGGAAAAGAGACCCTGCTGGCCTGAGCAGGGGCAGAGCTGCTCTGGCCTCCGCTGTAGGATGGGCCCTTGATTCTCCTGCTACTCTGACCTTAGGCTATTTCCTCTCAGAAGGCTGCAGCGGGACTGGGCCTGTGCACAGCCAGTGGCATAGAGGGAGAGGCTGCCTGTGACCTGGTCCCAGCTGGGTGGGATCCAGTTGCAGTGGAGAAGATAATAATGGGCCACCACAAAGCTGTTTTCAGGTCTGGGGGTAACTGGGCGCCCTCTCCCTATACATACCCAGGAGCTGGGATGGCAGCTGGGCCAGAGGATCGTGAGGAGTGGGTGGGCAGTGCATACCTGTTTGTGGAGTCTTCCTTGGACAAGGTGGTCCTGTCCGATGCCTACGCACATCCCCAGAAGAAAGTGGCCGTGTACAACGCCCTGCGGACGGCCTTGGCAGGTGCGTAGCATGCTGCATGCCCTGTTGGAGTGTGAGAGACTGACTGGGCCTTTTGTGGGAGGGGCCAGGGTTGAAGGCCCAGCTCCTCCACCCCCTGGGTCTGGCTAAGCTGTGGCATTAAGAAAAAGATTTGAGACTTCAGGCTGCTTAGGCTGTTGTCTCTGCTTGGGGCATGTGTGTCTGTGTGGCGTCTGCCTGTTTGTGTGTTAATGGCCTGGTGTCTTCTCTGCCCCATCCGCCACTGGGCCTGCCGGCTCCTTTCTACTAACCTCACCTGTCTCTCTCCTCTTTCCCTCTCTTACTGCAGCACTTGCACAAGACCCCTCTCACCCTACTCACCGGTACTCACCCTATTGGACCCCCTTTCTCGTCTCAGGGCAGAGGCCACAGAAGGCTGAAGCCATGTGGGAGGGTGTGGCCTCAGCCCCAAAACGGCGAGAGCCCCCTCTCCTTCCGGGGAGCAGAGGACATGAAATGCCCTGTCCTCCCGCCCCGCCGCCTGCGTACTTAGCCGGCTTGGCTGCCCGGGCCACGCGCCTGTGGGCTGCAAAGCCCCATCCCATGTCCCAGCTGGGGTGAGAGGTACCCACCGGTGGTCTTGAGGTATTTCCTAACGAGGTGCCCTCGCGCCCCAGACTACGGGCTTCTCCCGCCCCCCACTCTTCCGGCCGCCCAGAGAACGGCCCGGCGTAGGGACCGCTTGTTGCCTGACTGCCCACCTCCGCAGAGAGCGGCGGGAGCCCGGATCAGCTGCAGATGCTCAAGATCCACCGGAGCGACCCGCAGCTGATCGTGCAGCTGCGTTTCGGCGGCCGGCAGCCGTGCGACCGCTTCCTCCGCGCCTACCGCGAGGGGGCGCTGCGCGCCGTGCTGCAGAGGTGCCTGGCGGCGGCGCTGGACCTCGACCGCGTGCACTTGCAGCTGCGCGCCGGCGCTGAGCTGCTGGACACCTGGCTGCAGGACGAGGAGCGCTGCTTCAACTGCATCTTTGCCCAGAAGGTTCAGCCGGGCCCAGAAGGGTAGGGTTGGGCGGGTGTCTGCAGCCCAGGCCCCCAGCGACGCAGCACTCTCTTCTGTAGCCCGACAGGCTGCGGGACGAGGAACTCGCCGAGCTGGACGAGGCCCTCCGGAATCTTCAGTGTAACCCGGGGCGACACGTGGAGGGCCCTCCAGTGTCCTCCTTGCAGTCCCAGGGCCCTGCCCCGTTGGAAGACAAGCCACCAGCGCCACCGTCTGGCCAGACTTTCCTCTTCCAGGGTCAGCCTATAGGTGAGGCGCACAGTGGAATTTGGGAGGAGCTTGTTCTGGGTCTGGTGGTCCAGGGCTTTGGGAGGGGACCAGCTCTGGGGTACCCGCTAGCTCACCCGGTCTCCTCATCTCCCCCTGCAGTGAACCGGCCGTTGAGTTTACAGGACCAGCAGACGTTCGCGCGCTTAGTGGGCCTGAAGTGGCGCAAAGTGGGCCGCTCGCTGCAGCGCGGCTGCCGGGCACTCCGGGACCCGGCGCTGGACGCACTGGCCTACGAGTACGAGCGGGAAGGGCTGTACGAGCAGGCCTTCCAGCTGCTGCAGCGCTTTGTGCAGGCCGAGGGCCGCCGCGCCACGCTGCAGCGCCTAGTGGAGGCGCTGGAGGAAAACGAGCTGACCAGCCTGGCCGAGGACTTGCTGGGCCTGACGGATTCCGAGGGTCGCCAAGTGTAGGCCCTGTATCCAGGGAAGAAGCCTCTGCCCACCACGCCCAGCCAGGGCATGTAACCATTCGATGCCTCTAGGGCCCCTTCTGCTGCTACTGCTGACCCCTGCCCACCCATGAGCCTCCAGGAGGCCACCTCACGCTGGAGCTCTGGGGGCAGGGGTGCACCCTGCTCTTGCTGGGGTGCATCACGGGGCATCCCACCGCAGATAGTAGGCTAGAGGCATGTGTGGGGGTCCTGCCCGGAAGAGGAGCTTGTGGCCAGTCCTTACCTGCTCATTTTCTGAAGTTACTCCTGCCCTGTCCAAGCATTGTCCCGGGTCCAGCAAAGGCTTGGTAAGCAAGGTGCATACCAGAAGCCTGCCTGGTCCCAGCTCACACTCAGTATGGGATACCTGTCCCCCCAAAAATAAAACGTAACCCATTGTGGGTTTTAAAATATATTACCTTAATTGTGCTTTGGAAGGTTTCTACAGCCTCTTAGGGTCCCATTCCACAGCCGAAAAGGTTGTTAGTGACCTGGCTCACAGCTTTCTCGGCATGTGGCACCTCACCTGTTCTGTTCGTTATCCTGCTTCCAGGAAGCCCATTTCCCAGCCCCATTACACTCTCACCTTGGTTTTCTTTTCTTTAACCTTGGTTTTCTTAGGAACAATTTTATTTGCCCTTTATCCACAGGTCATACAATTCAGTAATTCAGTCAGATCAAGAAGTTATAAAGCTGCCATCATATCCAATTCTAGAACATTTTCTTCTTCGTAGTCATTATTCATGCCATTATGGGTTTTTTCCCCTTCAAATTGTGGCAATAATGTACACAACAGAACATTCTCCAGTTCCACAGCATCTTGTTTTAGTCAGTGTCGTTGATTACACTCTCCGTGCTGTACAGCCGCTCACTTTTGAAAAGCCTTTTCCCAAGTATTCACCTTGGTTCTTAAAAGGAACTTGGACCTTTGGTCTCATAAAGGTGGCTTTTGTTAATTTTTCTTTTAAAAAATTATATACTAATTGGGAGTTAATACAGATGAACTCATTTCCATAGTTGGATCACGTAAAGCAGTATTATACAATTGCTACCACAATCGGTTTCCAAATTCTTCCGGGACCCCTTGACATCAGCTCCCTGGCTTTTGGTTTTTAAGAAGCCCTGATGGGTTCTGATCAGTGATATTTTCTAAGCCGATTGGTTACTTAGCCCCAAGGTGACCTTAGAGGTTAGTTTGGGTTCAAGGTATGGAGGGCAATAACCCATGAGAGTCCTCCAGTTCCATCCAGGCAGGTAGCCTGGCTTTGCTTCTGTAGGAACTTGAGGCTATGTTCTACATCCGAGCCCTGCCCTTCCCCTCAATCCCATGGCTGCTTTCTATCAAGGTGCAGCTACTGGACTCAGGGCAGGGGAGGCTGTGGTTTGGATCCTGGCTTTTGATGTGAGTAGGAGGAGCTTAGGGAGGACCAAGGCGGGGCCTAACCAATCCAGGACCAGAAAGGCTTCCCATGGGAGATGACATGTGAATACAGTGGTAGAAAGGCAATGTATTGGGCACAGCTAGCTTCGGGTCCTGAGGGTGGCATGCTGGAAGCACAAGTTGAAAGACTCTGGATCTGGGGCGTTTCCTGAGAAACCACTGAGTGAGGTGTGTGTGTAGGGTGGGGTGGGGGTGGGTAGATAGCAGGGATCTGGATAACCATCTAACAGAATTTGGATCTGATCCTAAAATAACGACCATTGAGAAACCTGGTTAGGGAGGAGGGGGAGGATGTAGAGAGGGGGGGATGGGCCAGGCTGGGGCCATGACTGCAGGGGTGGAGGGAAGAGGCCTGGTGAAGAGGACAGGGGTGGGTGAAGGCTTCCCCAGCCTTTCTGCTGATGCTAGCTGGGGGCCTGAAGCCAGTTCCCAGGAGGGGTGGGAGGGAGCCAGTGGGACGTAGGGCTAATTTTTAAAGGGAGAAAGAACACTGTTGGGAAAAAGTCTTCAGAGCAGCAGGCATGGCCGCTGGGACGAGGTGGCCACTGGACTGTGCGTGGCACCGGGTGGTTCCAGGAGTCTGAACGCTGAGACGGGGGAGAGGCTGTCTCCTGCAAGACCCACTCAGACTGGAGCCCTGGAGTCCTGAGTGTGGAGTTGAGAGAAGTGGCAGCACCGGGTGGCCAGGACTGCGCCTCAGTCTCCAGGGTGACTCTTGGCCCACTTTCCCCCTCATCTAACCTTTTGCTCACTGGCCTGCTCCAGGAGCTGCCCAAGCAGACTCAGTGATGTCCACCCACTAGCCTGCAGCAGCCCAGGCATGGCACGTTCACCAGCTGGAGGCTACACTTGGTCTGGGGCTCAGAGGGACCCAGGCTTAGACTGGGCCTGGCCCCAGGGTCCCTTAGTCCTGAGGTGGAGACTAAACTTTGTGAAGTAAAAGTTGGCAGGCTTGGCCTGTATCCCAGTGGCTGGCTGGCAAGTTAGACAAGGAAGGTTCTTGAGACACCTGTGTATGGGGGTGGCGTCGGCGTGTGTTGGTCTGTGGGTGGCTTTGTAGGATTCCAGGGGCCATTGTGAGTCGTTGCCTGGCAGAACCAGGGAAGCGCCAGGGAAAGACCTGCGGGAGGCGTGGTGCCCACGTGCGAAGCTGCTGCCAGCTTGCGGAAGCCAGACTTCTTCACGCTCAAACCTTCCCAGAGAATTGCTCTGGTCGGTCGGTCCTCCTCAGGGTTTGCGCACGCCCCCCCACCCGCCCCCATGGCGCAGCAGGCGCCAGGGCGGAGCTCAGCTCCAGATGTCCGGGCGTGCACAGCTGGAGTCACGTGGCTGCAGCCCGGGCCCCCTCTTCCTGCCAACGTTGCATTTGGCCTGGTCTCTGCCCATGGCTGCCCCTGGGACCCTGAGCTGAGCCCGGAGGCCCGGCGTCTGGGGCCGTGCCAGTCCGGAGGGTTAAGCCGTGAGTGTTAGGATCTCAGAGACCAGCGAGGGGCAAGGGGTGAGGGGTTGGGGACCCAAGGAGGAATGTGCGGGGAGTGGGACTGAGACTCCCAGAATCTCCCAGCCTGAGCCTGAGGGCACCGGCCTGGGCTGCGGCTGACAGTGGAGGGTTAGATACAAGGAACTCCCTCTGGTCTTGGCGGGTGGGTCCGGGGTGCAGAGGACCAGATGGGAGACCCCGGGGCGTGGCCTCCGCCTGCCCCCTCCTCCCTGGGAGGCGGGGACAGGAGCCCCTGACTGTGTTTCCCTGCAGGGGCGCCTGCTCTGGCGACATGCAGCGGCGGAGGCTGCGCCTACGCAGGGACGCGGGGCTGACAGTGTTTCTCGGCGTCGCCCTCGGCCTCCTGCTCTACGTGCAGCATGAAGGCGAGGCCCCGACCACGAGTGCGCCGCGAGCGCGGGGCAAGGAGGCTCGGAGACCGAGTCTGGTGACCCGCGCATTCCAAACACCGGTCTCACATGCAGGCCCCCTGGCCTATGAGGGGGACACACCGGCGCCTCCCACGCCCACGGGGCCCTTCGACTTCGGCCACTACCTGCGTGCCAAGGACCAGCGGCGCTTCCCACTGCTCATTAACCAGCCGCACAAGTGCGTTGGCGATGGCTCCCCCGACCTGCTCATCGCTGTCAAGTCCGTGGTGGCCGACTTTGAGAGGCGCCAAGCAGTGCGACAAACGTGGGGTGCCGAGGGCCGGGTGCAGGGGGCGCTCGTGCGCCGCGTGTTCCTGCTGGGTGTGCCCAGGGGTGGGGGCAGCGACGGGGCAGCCCCGCCGGCGCACTGGCGTGCCCTGCTGCGCGCTGAGAGCCAGGCCTATGCGGACATCCTTCTCTGGGCCTTTGAGGACACTTTCTTCAACCTAACGCTTAAGGAAATCCATTTCCTGACCTGGGCCTCGGCCTTCTGCCCCAACACACGCTTCGTTTTTAAGGGCGATGCTGATGTGTTCGTGCATGTGGGAAACCTACTGGAATTCCTGGCGCTGAGAGACCCGGCACAGGACCTGCTTGCAGGCGATGTGATTTTGCAGGCCCGGCCCATCCGAGAGCGAGACAGCAAGTACTACATCCCCGAGGGCGTGTACGGCCTCTCAGTTTACCCAGCCTATGCCGGTGGCGGCGGCTTTGTCCTCTCAGGGGCCACGCTGCACCGCCTGGCCGGTGCTTGTGCCCAGGTAGAGCTCTTCCCCATTGACGACGTCTTCCTGGGCATGTGTCTTCAGCGCCTGCAGCTCACGCCTGAGCCTCACCCCGCTTTCCGCACTTTTGGCATTGCCCGGCCCTCGGCGGCGCCACACCTGCGCACCTTTGACCCCTGCTTTTACCGAGAGCTGGTCGTGGTGCACGGGCTCTCTGCTGCTGACATCTGGCTCATGTGGCGTCTGTTGCAAGGGCCACGTGGGCTGGCCTGTGGGCACCGACGACCTGCGGCCCCTGGGCCCTTCCAGTGGGCTCCCTAGCCACCATCAGTGTTGGTGAAGACTGGTTCTGGCCCCGGGACCAGCCGGTCAGATAGATCAGTGGGCTATGGCTCCTACCAGGAACGGAGATGGAATCCGAAGGTTTCTGGGTCACCCTTTGAGTCAGTGGCAAGGTGGCGGATAGGTTGTCTATCCTAGTAAGTCCCTGCGTGTACTGGGGGCAGGGGCTCCAACTACTGGCTTTGGAAGCAGCACTGGAATGGGTGGGCCCAGGTGAGGTCTCAGGCCCTGGCCTCAGCCCTCAGGCACCTGCCATAACTTACCCTTAAGATAAGAACCCCCTTCAGTCTCCTGCTGAAGGCTTTGGAGGCAAGGACCCTAAATGATCCCCATTGTTCAGGTCCCTCCCCTCAGCAAACCAACTGAAGACCACCATACATTTCCGTAACAAACACCCCAGCAACAGCACGTGGGGGTGGGGCAGATGCTGAGGGCACAGGTGCTTTATTCAAGGGGGAAAGGACAGGACAGGGGGCAGGCTGATGGGACAGTCCTGGCTACCCGACAGTGGATGTTGGGGGAAGGGAGGGGGTGTCTGGCCAGTCTGCGGGCCACATAGGAAGACCCCACAGTCGGCCACCACGAAGTCATGAGTGCCACAGGAGCCCACGGAGCCCCCTGCACACTCTGCATTAGTCTATACAGGATGAGGCTGTACATGAGTTAATTACAAAAGTCATATTTACAAAAATCTGTACACACACTTGAAAAACTCACAAAATTGTCATCTATGTATCACAAGTTGCTAGACCAAAATATTAAAAATGGGATAAAATTATACATTTCTCTTCTCAATTCTTTTCAAAAGGATTATTTTTAAAGCACATATGCTACTTTCTTTTAGCAAGGCCCGTGAGAACAGGCAGACCCAGTCTTCCTGGAGCCCCCAGTGACCTTGGGACAACTGACTGGGTCTGGCCAGGGGCCACTGCTCAGGGCAGGGGCAGGAGCCAGCCCCGCTGCAGAACAGAATGAAGGAACAAAGGGAGGGCGATGTCTTTGGCGAAAACTTTGGCATCAAATCAAAGTGGCAGACAGAATGGAAACATGCAGCCCCGCCAGCCAGGCTGGGGCAGAGCAGAGACAGGCGACTGGGGGCTGGCTCCATCCCCAGAGGGTGGTAGAATACTGGGTCTCAGCCACCTAGGTGAGCCTCCAGGACTGGCAGGGGGCTCGTGCAAGAAAGGAGCAGGGAATGGCAGGCGGGCCAGACAGGCCACAGCCAGTTCATCAAGTAACTAAAGTGGATGTAGTGCAAACTTCACAGCCGAGTACTACGGACATGCTACCTGCTCGCTGTAAGGGTCACATAGCACTGTGAAGCCACAGGCAGGACCCCTTGTCCTTGCCCTGGGCGTCTATGTGCTCAGCCACAGAAAGAGCCAGGCTCCACAACACGTGTGGGGCGGGGCTGACAGACCCGCCACCTCCTGTGCTTCGGGAGCTCCTGGGTCCAGGCTTGGAGCTTGGAGTTTGTGCTTCTCTGTAGCAGTCTGTGTCCCCTGCTGGTGGCGCCCACAGGCTGAAGAATGAATGACAGGGCCCCCCGGACCCTCACCCTGCCACAGAGCACCATACCCAACCCACCTCAGAGCCTCACCACTGCCTTCAACACTGGCAAGGGGTCTGAGAAACCCGATCGGGTGGCCCTGAACAGGCCATGGCTCGCAGTCCAATGGGCAGAGGGGCACGTGCGCTGGTGCCCTAGGAGAGCTCTGCTGTTCTCAGGTGGGCACCAGGCCGGGGGGGCCCGTACAGGGTCACTGAGGCAATGTGGTTGTTCTGCATGACCTGGGGTGAGATGAGGACAGTGTGGTCAGCACCAGGACTCTGAGAATGGAATTGAGGCCAACTGTGTCAGCAGCACAGCCGCCCACCACTGATGACCATCTCCAACCCCACGAGGGGAGGGACAGCCACATCCTTCACAAACGACTCCTCAGCCAGCCCCACCTGCCCCTCCCGTGGCTCCCTTCCCTGCTGCACTCCAGGTCTTCAGATGGAAACACGGGCTTCCTGTCACCTCTTATCTTGGACAGAGAGCACTGCTTAGGCCTCTGACTGCATGCTTGCCAACAAGTAGGCAGGCCAGGTTCTTGGCAGACAGGACTGAGGGCCCATCCCCCTGCCCCGCATGGCAGCTGGGTCCCCCCTCCAGCACCCTCAACCCCTGCCATGCTTGTGGGCCCCTCCGCTGGCCTAGCTCAAGGACCCCAGGGCTCACCTCAAAGATCATCCGCTGCAGCCCAAAGCAGAACGTGGAGCCGAACGGGTTGGTGTTGTTTGGGGAGGACGACCTGCGCCGGAGAGGCCAGAGTGAGAGGCCAGACCAGGCAGCTCGTCCTTTCTCAGGTGGGGGCTCTTGGCCAGTGTCTCTGATGGCTGGGAGAGTCTCAAACAGCCCCCTCAGGCCCTAAGAAGTAGCCCCATTGAGCTTGGAATCCCACAGCCTAACCCGGTACAGAACGCACTGTGAGTGACCATGGCACTGGACAGGGTGCACAGAATAGGAGGGAAGATCAAAGGCCTTTATAAGTAGGAGGGCACTACAGGCAGCAGGCTCTCAGATGTGGGGCAGAGGACTGGCTAGCCAAGACTGACTCCAATTCCCGACCCCAGCCTAGCTGACTCACTCCCAATGCACAGGGTGGGCAGAAGTACTGCTCTGACAGGACTGGAGACGGCTGCCCTGGCTTCTGGTTGAGGAGGAACAGGCTCCCCACTCACCTGTGCAGGACCACTGGCTTCTCCACGGGATGGCCCAGTAGTTCCTGGATGCTGTCCCACTGTAAGAGGAACAGGGGGCGGCAGGTGAGCAGGCTCTCGCCCACCTCATTCAGGTGCTGGGTCAGGTGGGAGAGTAGTAGCTCACCTTGCTGTAGGTCGTGCAGGTTTCTGTCTGACCGTCTGTATTTTCTGAGAAACCACAGAGAAAACACAGGGCAGCTGACCACTGGCCCAGTCAGGATTCAGACTGCACTAGCCAAAGGAGGGGGCTTAGGCCTACCATTGGCTACAGCACCAGGCAGAAGCCAGTTCTGGGCAGCTGATGTGGTTTAGTGGGGCGGAGCCAAAGGGAGGGCAGCCAGGGACCAGCTAGGGGCACCAGCAGGACAACACCCTTCCCGTCAGATAGAAAAAAGCAAAGGATAATCTCACACCCCCAATTTTAGGAAAATACTTTAGGGCCTCCAGGAACCAAAAGCAAGTTGCTCAGCCCAGAGGTGCTGAAGCTCTAGCCAGAAGCAGGGGACAAGGGCTTCATAACCCAGCTCCCACTGCCTCTGTGGGATACTTCCCACAGCGGGAGCCCCCTCTAAAGAACTGCTGCCCCCAGGCCGTCACGACCCACCTTTCTTGATGGCCAGTGGGATCTTGAACTCACAGCGGTGGTAACTGGAGAGGAGGCAGGTAGGGTAAAGAGTTGGTTGGCCTCCTGGGATGGGCCCTGTACCCCAACTCCCCACCACCCAGATGCCCTGTCCAAGCCCCGGATGAGGGCGTTCACTGGGGAAGGCAAACTTGATGGACGTGGACAAGCCACCAAACTCCCCACCCCAGGGCCACGAGAGCTCTTTCCAGTGGTCCCACTTCTCTGAGGGCAGGCGCAGACATACTCACATGTTGAAATTATAATGCCCTGGGTAGTTGGTGTGTAAGACAAACTTCTTCACTTTGTGTGTGTTTGCATCAAAGAGGATGTCCTAGGCAGAAGCAAGGGCCAGCAGGGAGGGGACGTTATTAGAAGGGCAGCAGCCTTTCCAAGGTCAACTCAGAGGGGCCCTTCCTCCCTCCCTCCCAAAGACTGGTCAGCGCCAGCTGAAGGCCCAGAGTCTTGGGGGCCATGTCCTGTAAAGGACTCAGTAGCAAGCATGTCCCCACCACTGAGTACTTGCTGCAGAAGAGCCACTGGGGACACGGCCATGGTCTAAAGGTCCCCAAAGATTCAGGAGTCACCTGACTCAGGCACTCAGCCACTTTAATGCCCTGACTGTCAGTCCTGCCTAGTTCCCATGGTACTTGGGGTCGGACAGACCTAAAGTTCTAGCCTGGCCCACTCAGCAGGGCTCCGACCAAGACTTGCTCCAAGTGTGCTGTAAGGCTGCCACGCCATGAAAGACCATTGGCTCCCTGCCGATAAAGATGTTCAGTCTTGGAAACCCCAAGGTGAAGTTCTACTCCATCCTCTGGTGTCACGATGAGTCAGAACTGACTTGAATTACAGAATGTCCCATCTCCCACACTCTTCCCAGCCTCACACGCTGACAGCTACGCAGGCCTTCGATGCCAGCGCTGCCTCTTGCCCCCACCCCTACAGTCTTGTGAGGATGGTCTTCTCTGTCTTCCCTGCCACCCATCACCACTGCTCCTCAAACTCAGTCACATGCACAGCACCATCCTTTCCCACAACAGCCCACACACACTTCCACTGTGACGTCCTCACAACTCAGAGACACCGTCCACCTGGTTCCTGCTCCATCGGGCGCTCGGGGGCAGTTCCAGCCTCATCCTGCAGCCTTGCAGCACTCTGTTGCCCCTTCTGAGCCCCCAACAGTCTCTGCCTCAGGACCTTTCCAGGCTCAACGGCAACAGACCAAGGGCCCAGCCCGGCCCTGGAAGGTTTCCTGCCGGGGCAGTGCACATCTCACTACCATTTGCATCCTATCCACCCGCTGATCTGACAATGCTGCAAGTGGCTACCAGCCCCACCCAGCACCCAGAGCTGCCTCAGGAGCGACCCCTGGAAGAGCAGCACATGCTCACTGTGAGCCTCCCTTCACAGAGAGGTCCACGCACAGCAGGCCAGCACCTTGGCGGCAGTAAAGATCTTCCTTTGGATACCAAACCCACACAAAACACCACCAGGCACAGCTAGCCAGGGTCAGGGCCCTTGATGTCCTGGGCAGACATGCAGTGGTGTGCGTGCACAGGTGTGCCTGAAGGACTGCCCACCCCCACAGAAAGGGATGGTTCCCAATGGCGTCACAACTTACCACCCCGAGAGTAAAGTAGTTAAAAAAGTAGTCGTTGCACTTGGAAGGAACTTGCTTATGAGGGGAAGGAGAGTGGATTCTCATCTGCGGGGATTAACAGAAACACTGCATCAGCTTGCAGCTAATTCTCCGTGTTGTTCAGTGCCACTGGGCTGGCTCTAAACCACGGGGACCGTACACACGCCAGAAGGAAACACTGCGTCCAACTGTCTCTCGAGGCCCTTCCTCTTTGTCGCCACCCCTCCACTTTACCAACATCATGTCCTCCCCTCCAGAGACACAACATGTCTAAAGTATGCAAGACAAAGTTGTACCATCCTTGCCTCTAAGGAGCACTCTGGCTTTACTTCTTCCAAACGGATGGATTTGTCTTTTTAGTAGTCCGTGGTACTTTTCTTTCTCCAGCACCACAATGCAAATACATCGACTCTTCTTTGGTCTTCCTTGTTCAATGTCCAACTTTCACATGCATATGAGTTCTCAGATGAACGGAAAGTCTACAAGGTGTGCTCCTTGCATAATATTCAGGTGTTGGGGCTGCAGGAGCCCCACGTGATCAATCAAGCTGTGATGGACTACATAGGGTCCCATCTCCGCAGAGAGGCAGGCCTCATAGACAATGACAAGGCAAGGCAGGCTACCCACTGATATTTCTCATCAGTTTAAGCAGACCAGATTTTAAGGGAAAATATTGAACGGTCTCTATGTATTCATGATTTAATTAGCATTGATTTAAAAAATAAGAAAAATAGCTTGCCTCCTCATTCTATCTTCCTTACCTTGTCCTCTGACTTGTAGAAGACCTTGTGCGGAGAGCCAAGCAGGCTGAGAACATCTTGGCAGGAATCACCAAAATACACCGAGCGCTCAAATACCCGCATCTTGGCATCTGCCAACAGGCTGGGCCCACAACCTGTGGGAAGGAAGGAGGAGGGCTCAGGGTACTGAGTCAAGTGCACCACCTGGCTGGCTAAGACTGGTGTGTCCGTAAGCTCAGGGTCTGGAAGACCCCAGTGAAGACTGCAGACTGCGAAGATGAGCAGCAGCATAAAGTGCTGTGGAAGGGTAGCACGGGTCCACGGGACCACGACTCTACACCCTACTTTGGTGAGTTGCCACTGAGGCCTTGCAAGCTTGTGAGTGGTTGTCCACGGTCCCTCACTGCCTGCAGTAAAGAAGGGGGGAGGGAGGAATCAAAGACATATGGTGACGTGCCAATGAACTAATGGACCATATACACATCAGTCTTTGGGCCTGAGCTCAGAAGTCAGAAGAACTAGATGGTGCCCAGCTACTACTACCAACTGCTCTGAAGAGGGTCACATTAGAAGGTCCTTGATAAGAGGAAAAAACGGAACAAAACTCACAATAATAAAGAGACTAGGCTTACTGGTTGGACAGAGGCTTGGTGCACCTCAAGACTGTATATAGTCCTTAATCACCTTTCTGGTCTGGAAATGCACTCATCCTTACAGTTCAATTTATAGCCGTTTAAACAACAGGCAGGCGTGTCTAAGGGGAACAATAACACCAGTGAGATCAACACCTTAGAGCAATCAACCACTGGAGAGCCAAGCATGTATTTCCCCAGGGACAGTAGGTGGCACGGAAACAGGAAGCAGAGAGGGGTGGAGATCACAATCTGTAATCCATTGCATGAAACAGTGTGTATGAACTGCTTTGAGTGAAAACTGACCTCCCCTGTGAACCTCACCTCATCCACCATAGGGTGCTATTCTCTCTGGCCACCTTTCATGGTCTGATGCGATACAAGGATGTGTGTGTCAAGAAATACTTTATTACACAACTGTTGTGACTTCCTCCTTCCTGAGGCCCACCAGCCTGCTTCTGGGTGTACCTGTCCACCAAGATCATCAGGACGTGCTTTAAAAGAAAACAGGAAATGAACTTGGCTTTGGAAGGCTTCCAGGAGAGGTGCTAGAGAGCAGCGACTTCTTCACTGAGACCCCAGCTAATGGAGGCTCAATCTGCAGGACCAATTTGCTGAGGGCCTCCCACACACTGACCCCTGTACAGGAAAACAAGAATTTTCCCAAAGAGGTGGCTTTTTGCTTGATGTGGCTCCGTTTCTCCTCATACTTGGGTTGGAAGGTACTACCAGGTGCCCTGCTAAGCATGACTTGAAGTCTCGAATATCTATCTGCAGGGAGAAGCGAGTCACACAAGGAGGTGTGGATGGGGAGAGCACACACACTGTGGGGGTGGGGGCAACTCCTTCCCATTCAGTCAGGAGACCTCAGCAGAGTGCCCAAACCACCATTCAGTAAGCTGCCGGTCAGCCTACTCTCAGAACTGGGTAGGGAATGTGGTGTGGTGGTGTGTGTGTGCGTGTATGTGTTGGGGAGCGGGGGGAGACACTTCTACAGCCCTTGTGACGAGTCTCTAGGAAACACGATGGGAGACAGGCAGAGCTCCAGAAGCTTCCCGCCATCCCACCGTCTGACGCTGAGATGATGCCCTGCTCACTCAGATCTAAAACACCTCCCACCAGTTATACCTCCTAAACTGTGGGAATTTAGAATTTCTCAACATGGTGCGATGGGGAGCCCACTACCTCCACGTCAGTGACTGACCTGCGGCAAGTAGGCGAAGTCGTAAACCTGAGGGTCCAGTTCCATCTCGAAGAACATCCACACTCTCGGCGTACACGTTGCCCAGGAAACAGCTCAAGGGCATCACGGGGGCCCTGGGGGTCAGCGGAGAATGAGCAAAGCTTTGTCTCCCTCTCCAGGAAGCCCGGGAATGCCCCCCCACTTACTTGGTATCCTGTAAGCTGTTTCCACTGTAGATGTACATGCGTTTCACAGTCGCTCCATGGGGGATCTGGAGAGAAGCGAGGCCGTGGGCAAAATTGGGCTGCAAACATAAGACCACCGATTTACTGAGGGCCCGCCTGCACGAAGGCACCGGCCTCCCTGCCACTCAGGTCACCCAATCATGCAGGCTCATCTGAAGTCTACTTAACCAGCCTCCCCGTGTCAGAGGAAGACACAGGAGAACCTTCTTTGATAAGACTCAAGCCAGCCTACGAAGAGCTGTCATTTCCACAACCCTACGCACCTGTTGCCTACTGAGGAACGACACTGCTGAAAGCCACCGACAGCCCAGATCAAAGCTCCCAGTGCCAGGCCACCGAGAAAAGGACCCCTGAGCAGGAGCACTTAAGCTCAGCAGGGAGTTCACCCTCCTCTGCCACCCCCCGCTCCCATGGGCCTCCGGATGAGCTCAAAGACAAAGAAACTAAGGACAGGGTGCTTATATCCCACTTGTTCCGAGGGCACTGTCTGATGACCCCCAGCTGGACACTGGGTGGGGGCAGAGAAGGGCTAACCTCGTACTTGGGAGCCGCGGTCCATGAGTCTAACTGAAAAGAGAAGGACAGTCCTCTGAAGGTGAGGTGGAAGAGCTGTTCGGCAGAGTTGTACACTGTGGGGTGGGAAGCAGGACAGACATGGGTGACCGTGGCATCTGAAGAGGCTGCAGCAGGCAGTAATGATGGCAACGCCTTCCTGAGTCTCACTCCTGCTCTGACTTATTGAATTGAAACACCCAAGCCCCCAACCCTCCGGGAACCTGGCTTCAGGGGCAGGGCGGGGCTGGTGCCCCCTGCCAGGGGTGTCATAGTGGGCTGCCAGTGACGGCCAGCAGTAGTAGGCAGACTCTGCTCACCTCCTGGGTGCGTTGCACCGAACGACTGGTCGATCTGCTCGATGGTGGGCGCTATGGCCTGAGAGTTGAAGTGCACTCCACTGAAAAACAAAGGCCCCTTTCAACACCCTCGTGTGATGTGGTGGTCACCTGACTCCCTGACCTCCCCAGGATGGCCATCTGACTCCCAGACCTCCCCAGGTCAGGGAGAGCCACTCTTACAGCATGGAGGCTCCATCTACAACAATGCCAAAATAAGCTCATTAAAGATCTTTTAACTAAGAGAATGCACAAGGTCAGAATTCACAAGGTGAATTCTTATGGGGCTGACATACAGTCATTTGTGAACAGGCACAGTCCAAGAAAATACTGGTTGCCCCCTACTCCCGCCATTCCTGAGCCTTAGTATGGCATCCAGACTGGAACAAAGAATGGCTAGAGGAAGGCATGACAAACAGGAAGAGGAGCCTACCGGTCACTGAGATGGACCTCGTGCAATGGTTAAGGAAGTGGGACAGGGTGGACCGGAGAGCAAAGAAGAGCTAATTCTCTCAGATGATAAACATGAAAATAAGCCACTGAGGACTGTAAGGTTAAAAGGGATGTTTGAACATGACTAGTGTAACTGCTGTAACCCCACACTCCATGTGGGGTGGTGTTTTCAATCAGACACTGTGCCCCACAGGCTCTGCCAGCCCAGCTCCCACAATCCTCCTGGGAGCCCGGCAGCCACACTGGCCTCCTTTCTCTTGATGAGAAAACAAGCTCCTAGAGATGAAATGACTTGTCCTAGAGGTCCCAGAAACAGGAAGGGCCAGAGCTACCACTTTAACCTAGGCTAGCCAGACTCTAGCCTCCACTCCACACCTGTACCACCCAGGGAAGGGGCAGCCCCTATGGAGGCTCAGTGACAGGGTCACTCTAGACATGAGCACCTTGCCCCTGTCAGTTCCCAGATCTGCGTGAAGACCAGCTATGGTCTCTGCCTTCTCTCCGGAAAGGACAGGCTTCGGAGTGAGACTCATCTCGGCTGCTCATGAAAAGGGGCCAGGAGCCACCGTGCAGAAAGTGGTCTAAGCACCTCTGTGCTCGGGCCCTGTTGCTGTGTGGATTAAGCTAGTTGATGGTAAGGGCAGCAGTTCTCATGAGGCTCCCTTCTCATGCCAGGCTGGCTGTCAGCTGGTACTCCACGACTGACCTGCTGAGCACAAAGCCCATGGCACCAAGGGTGACAAGGAGTGTGGAGAAAACTCACCAGTATTTTAACTTTACTTTAGTCAAGTCATAGACTTCAATCACCTAAAAAACAAACAAACAAACCCCAGATGTTGATGAGTTACCAATGTTCTGCAGTTGGTAAGATGCCAGACTGAAAAAGATTATGCAACAAAAAGTAAACATTTTATAAACGGTAAAATAAATAAAGACCTACCAATAGTCAAAATTCTCCTGAAGCACAAAAGCTTACCTTGTGTCCTAATACGAAAATACACCCCCTTCCCCAATAAACATGCTACACCATTACCACAACCCTCTTTCCTCTGGTGGACTTGCCAACAGGGTCAAGGTCCTTACAACCAAGCCAGCACCGAGCCGTGCTGAGGACTGCACACCCATACCGAGCAATGACCCCCAGTAGAAACGCACTCCGCTCTACTGTTGAAATGCATGTGTGGGGGCAGGGATGGCTCCAGCCTGCTGGGAAACAGGCCAGGTCCCATGCACCTTACAGGACAAGTGCAGCAACACCGGGGAGTAGCGCTAATGAAGAACACTGGTGGGACCTGGAGATCCTCTAATGGGCTCGGCCTCAGTTGAAATGCTAACTCTGGGCAGAGACAGAGAAAGGCACTGACCACTCAGTCACCAGTGGTCTCTAATAGCACCCAGTGTGCCTTCCTTTATGCTGTGACGTCAAGGACCGGCAGCCAGGAGCATGGCTGGCTGGGGCCGGGGTCCCCACCACCCACCAGCTTTGGGCTTGGAGGGTTGGCTCTCACTGAGGAGGCCGGTGCAGAGTTGGCTCAGTGTCTGCCCTGCCAGCCCTACCAACCTGCCCAAATCCTGAAAGGGGCTGTGGGGCACTCAGGCGCGGGGGCATTTGGCATTGCCAGAGAAACTGGAACACAACAGTTCACTCTTGGCCACTGACTGTCCTCAACTTTACTTAGAGACCAGACACGGGACCACACGGCCACAAAGGGTCGGGGAACAGCGTGGCTCTGAGGACAGGGCTGCCAGAGGGCTCTCTTACATTGTAGTCATGTGCTTTCCAGGAGCCCAGGCTAATGCTTAGGTGCTTCCAGGCTGTGTGCCCAATCGGGCAGAGCTATCCACAGGGCCCAGAGGAATGACCACCTTGGAGACCTTTGAGCCACCAGGAGGACCAACAAGCAAATTCGGAACCATGGGGACAAACAGTGGGAAAGTCTAAAGCCAATTCTCCACCCTGAAGGCTTCCTGAGGGAAAGGAGCCACAGCCAAGATAAGGGAAGAACAAGGAAGGCTGTAGCATGTGAGGCTCTGCCCACAGGGTCTTTTCAGCCCATGGCAGAGACAGACAGATAACATCTGAAGGGGCAGCTAGAGGAGTCAGGTTGGACTCGGCACCAACCAAGACTCAAGACCACAAAGGGGACTGGCGTGGTGTTGGTAACCAATTAGAGCTGCAATCAGTGACTGAGTGTGGGAGTTACATAATCTGTCAACTTGAGACAAGGGGTGGAGTCGAGCCTGTCAATCAGGCTACAGCCAAAGAAGCCTCCGTGTGGACATGGCCTTCTCCTGAAGATTCTGGGAATTCCTGTATTCTTCCCCAGAAGTGGGAGACGCTCTCTGCTTCTCTTTCTGCTAACGAGCCACATGGAGCTACATTGATGGAGCCAGAGGCCTGGAACTGAAGGAGCCATGTGGAGACCCATGCCAGCGCTAAGATGCTTCCACCACCACTGGATCCACAAGACTTTCCACCCACTAGCCTGTGATCTTCCTACATTCTGCATCATTGCATGGCTGCGTGAGTCTAAAGAGGAATTTATGGACTAGTTTTGACATATGGGGTAATATCAGGCTTGGGATTGATCTGGACTGGTCTGAGATGTTTTCTTAATGTACAATTGCTTTGATATAAAGTTCTCTTTTACACACGAATGTCTCTGGATTTGTTTCTCTAGTGTACCCAGACTAACACAGGGGTGTAGGCCTTTCTGAGTCTCCAGAGGCTCACACAGGTGTCCCAGTCTCCCCTCTGCAAGAGAAGTCCACAGAAGAATGTCTGATTGTAGTTGATCTTTCTTGTTCAAAGGTACTTGTGGTAGTTACATAATCTGGTGTCAATTGGGACTTGAGAGGATTAAGAGTGAAGGGGTGAAGTCTAGTCTGTCAATTGGGTCATAGCCAATGAGGCCTTCTCCTGAGAATTCTGGAGAGGACTTTATAGGTTGGTATTGGACACATGGGCAATATTGGACTTATGGACTTGATCTGGACTGGGCTGGGACATTTTCTCTATGTTCAATTTCTCTTGTACATAAACCGATTTCTTATTATAAACATGAGTGTATAAATTTGTTTTTCTAGTCTACCCAGACTAACAAAGCACTTCTCATTCCTCATGGTTTTGGGGGCAGCATGTGTGTTCATACTATTTTCTTGTTTCTCACTTCTTTACTAACATCACCACACTATACTTGATGTTAGGCAGGCCTCTGATCCTCTGTTCATAGTGGCCTCAATGCTTAGTATGGATAAACTGCTCACTCGGCTTGTGGAGATTAAATTAGGGAGTCTATAAAGTCCGGAGCCACGTACCAGGGTCTGCTTTCGCCTCTTCACAGCTGACTTGAAGGGAATGCTAGGAATTATGGAATTATACTCAAGTCTTTTGGAAAGGCTACTCCACAGTCTAACCAGATGGCAGCTCTTGACACATCACTGCCCACGGCCTGGACACGCCACTGCCCAGAGCCCACAGGCAACCTTGTGATTCTCAGATGGGCGTCTGGTGTCACGTGGCTAGCCTGTGAGGCATAGGCATCTGTAAGTAGGGTGGCATTAAAAACAGCATGGACTAAAACAGGTGTTAGCAAATTGCACTTGAGCACCAATTAAGGCAAGCCTACACACCAGCAAGTTGTTTGTTTACATTTCCTCAAAGGGATTAAAAAACACACTGACCCTGCCGGTGTTAAGCCCCCCCACTCCCCCGTTTCAGTATTCTAGGAAGAGCAGTTCCCCTTTCCTACCTTCTATGGCAGTTAAAGCAAGACACGCATGTCTGACTAAAGTCGCCTGTCCTACTCTGCATGCGGCCCGATTCTGAGTGCCTGTTTGCACGGAGACTTGGGGGGACTGGACTCAGCTGCTCTCTGGTTTGCCTTTTCAACACAAAAGTCCTCACCCCACAGCACATGCTCAAAATGCACCACCAGCCTTCGAAGTCTCTTTTCACCTACCCTATCCCACTCTACTTCTAGTCCCCACCCCACCCCCAAGGGGGAACAGGTGTAGCTTTGGGCCCTACTGCACTGTGGTGGTCTCTAAACCAAAGAAGATCACGCCCAGGTTAATTGGCTCCAGAAAGACTGGCTCAACTGGACACGAAACGCCATCATTTATAGTTACCTTGAGCCTCTGATTGAAAGCATCAAACAGTAGTTTGATCCCGTCCTGAGTCAGGTTAAGGATGAGGTCATGGCTTAGAGGAGACTGCAAAACAAAAATAATACATCCTGAACCACCAACCTACTCCCACCTACTGACAGCTTCCCAGTATAAATGTCACAGATAGGGACTAACCAGGCACAGGGAGCCCTTCCCTGGCCCAACTCCCGAGGTCTGGAACCCAGAGAACAACAGGCGCTCTGAGTGCACCATTCTCCCCGTGGCTCGCCGGCAGCTTCCATTCTGTACTGCTCGCACCTCCGGGTTTTGATAATAACCCCTGGAGAACGGGTCAAAATATAGGCGTCTAGGAGCTGTTTGATGTCTTGAGGCCCTAGGGCACCCGGGTTCTGCAGAGCAGCTGGAGAGGAGGGCAAGGTCCTGTGGGGAGGCCCAACCCCAGACCCAAAGCTGCAGACGCGCTTGCTCACTGCACGAGAGCTTGCATACCATGCACAGGACCCCCCTCCTGCATACATGCCTCTTTCTGGAAGCCTTTGTCTAGTATGTGGGGAGTCACTTGTCTACATTTGCCCTTTCAAAGTTCTAGAGGGGGTTTTCTGCATAGAGCAATGGACAGAGGTGGCCTTGAACCCTAGAGCCAGTGACCTGCGGTAACCCTAAAACCTCTTGAAGCTCTGGTGTCTTTCAGAAAATACAACTTCCCCTTCCTCGAGGGGTTGCCGTGAAGCCAGACAGCAGGTTGGAAAGCACAGACTCAACACAGAGCGCCCTTTCCCACTTGCCACGCCACTTCTGGTCTTAATGTCTAAGACCTTGCCCCAGCCTCACACTGGGCCCAAAGAGGAAAACATTACCATCTCAAACCCACCCTTTCTTGAAACTGGCACACAGAGCTGCTCAAAGGATTTAGACCAGTTTGTCGGCAGGACTTTTCAAAGACACAGACAGGAGCTGGAAGGCCAAGAAGGCCAAGGCAGGTGCACTGCTAGCACGGGCCTCAATGGAAATGCTCCCTGCCCCAGAGCTTTCTAGGAATGAAAGGCTGTCTGCTCCACTCTGCTCCCTTGATCTTCACGGGAGAGCAGGCCCGGGGCACCATTCTGCAGGACACAGCAGAACTCCCAGGACCTTCCCAGAGCTGCTGTAACCTTTGAAATGAAAAACAAAAGCAAAACCCCTCAAATTCACTGCCATTGAGCCAATTCTGACTCACGGCAACCCTATAGCCCCAACTTTTCACCTCAGCAGTCGGTTTCACACCGTGGGCTTTGCTGATCGCAGCCCAACACGTAACTCCTCCTCCAGGGCTCCTGACTGTCACCCTAGAACGCCTCACCTTCCGCATGCCGCCACCCTTTCATACAGTTCCGCAGGCGGTGGTGACCCCAACCATAACATGATTTTCGTTGCTATTCATGACTGTCATTTTGCTACTATTATCAATCATAATGTGAATCGATGTGTTTTCTGATGGTCTTAGGCGACCCCTGTGAAAGGGTCATTCGACCCACAAAGGGGTCTCGACCCACAGGTTGAGAACGGCTGCTCCAGCACAAGCTCATGGTATTGAACTGCTGCCCTATGCACAACCATCACACCGCCAGGGCTCCCACAAAGCCTGGAGAAAACATACAGCAGGCTGCAATTCTCCAGTAGGGCTGCAGGAATGCCTGAACCCATTAGGTCTCACCCACACAACGGAGGTAGCTTAGATCCCTATTCTCAACACAGAAAGCCACGCCAAGTTCCTTGTTTCCGAGGACCAGTCCAGGGAAGCAAGCAGGTTCAAGGAAGAGTCCAGCCTCTTCCAAGAGCTCTACTGGAAGAAAATGCGGAGAGCATCTCGGTTTCCCTCTGCCCTCCCTCCTAAGAGCAGATCAGTTTTGTCCTGGCACAATTACAATTTAGGACTCAATTATGCGATTTTCAAAAGCAAGTAATCACTCTCAAGGGCAAAGTTTTATTAGTGCTTTGCAGAGCACACATGGTCTATTTGGCTGGGGAGCGTCCAATACAGTACCCAGCACTGGGCTGAAACTGGTCAGTAAAGGAAGCTGCCTGCTGCTTGCTGTTAGCATCTTTTCCCTCTAAGCAAGATGGGACCTATTTGATATGCACATTTAATTTCCAGGGTGTGACTTGCCTGGAGACCAGGAGATATTTCAGAATTGTTAAGGGGAGCAAATTGTCTTCTGCACTTGATGGGGAGCAAAGAGGCGGATGGGATAGGAAAGGACAGAGCTCACTTGTCCGAAGCACCCCACCACAGCTCTCTGATCATGGGCTCTGGGTCCTTATGAGAAGATCCCTCTATTATAAAGAAACTACACACCACGAGTCAAAATCAATTTGGCAGCAACAAGCTGGTTTAAAACCCAATAAGCAGAAAGAGACCCAGACTGAATCTTCATGCCAGCAACAGGCTCACTTGGATTTGAAACTAGCAGAAACAAATGGACCTGTAACCACCCAACCAGGTGTCAGAGGGTCTCAGAAAGGTGTTGAGGATAGGCATCTCTCACCTGCTCGCTGTAGAGAACCTGAACATTTTTGATGATGCGACAGTGCTTCTGAAGAATGGCCACTGCCTGAGCCAGAGGCATTCCTGAAATAAAGCAAAGGCACGCGTGAGGTTGTGTGGGCCATCCATTTACTGACAGCTATTTACTGACAGCTTCTATGATCTCTACAACAAAACTCGGGGAGGAAGCCAGTAAAGTCTACAAATTAGCTAGTAAATAACCTTTGATAAGCAGGAGGAGCTACAATAAAGTTAAGCAGCGAGCACCCTAAGGGGCTAGCTGGACTGTCTAAGGGAATGGAGGAAACTTACATGAATATACATACCATCCCAGTGCTAACAGTTAACCTACCACAAAAAATTGGGTGGTCAGTTTTCTCACCTGCATAACTCTTACTCTTTTATCTCATCACTGCCTGCTGACAACCCTCAAATGAGGCTCAACACAAAGGGATAAGCCCAAAGACCAGGCTGTCACCTAAAAGCCCTGCATAAGCTCTCTGGATCTTGTCCCTCTCCACCCACGTCAAGCTGTTTCCCACCCCAGGTCTTCATACCAGCTCTGGCCTCTGCTGGAATATTCTCCCCGTTGCCCATTGCCAATTCCTTCTCATCCTTCAGGCCTTGGCTCACACACCTCATTTCTCTGACTGCCCTAACAAATGATGCTACCCACTACTTATTTACCTGTAAGAGCTTCCCCTATAAACTCAATGAGGGTAAGGACCCTCCCTGTCTTGTTCACTGCTGGACTTCAGCAACCAATCTCCGCACCTGGTCCAACAGAAGACCCTACATAGCTGTTTAACAAAGAATGGACATGTAAATCCTGTGCTACGTATGGGCCCCAATGATGACCCTACCTCTGTGAAAACCCCCATACCGCCCCATCTACACCACACTCGTGCTTTACCTTAACTTCCCCACACCCCTAGGGTGGGCTATATTCTCCCACCCACCCCCATTCACTCATTCAAACTACCACCAGCCTTACAATTTACATGTCCAGTCTGTTTTCTGTGTATTTCTTCAGGCAAACAAAAGTCAACACCAAGAGATCACTCCCAACATCTACCTAGTCACCCGAGCCAGAATCCTAGATTCCCCCTCTTCCCCTCTCTCCAAATCGTTCTCCCAAAAACCCAAGCTAAGACTTTGCTAATAGACACATTCCTTTCCCACTGAACCCAGAGACTCCTCAACCGTGCCCTAGCAGGCTACTACCCAACAGAAGTGAGACTCTGGAAAACCTACTGTCTTCTTGCGCCATGACATCATGTTCTAGTTAGAACACCAAATTGCTGACGGTGCCAGCACACACAATCTAGCTTTCCCAATGCTCTTTTCCTGTTTTCAACCCCACTGGGAGCCTCGCCCATGGAGACAGTGCAGATGAGAGCCTCCAGTATAGACTTCTGGGAGGGCCCCACGGATGCTCACTGGTTCCCGTGGGGTGGCAGGAAGTTTATCCCCTTTCTCCTTTCACAGAACCCTCACAGCTTCTACCTAAATATGACAAAATGAATTTCTGTAATCTTTCCCTCCCATTTGACTAAGTTCTTCAGGGCACAAGACCATTTCTTATTGCAATTTGAAAACCACAAGCAGACTCCATAGGAGCACATGCTGCCTTCAATGAACCTCCAGTCGGTGTAACGAGGGACTTTTGAAGAAGGTTATTTCCTAGTATGCCCTCTTTTTGGATTTTAAAGGTGAATTTCAAAAACCAAAGTCTAGAGCCATGCCTCCACAGGTGGCTGTCCACCCAAACATTAAGTAACTCTCAGTGAAAGTTTTTCAAATGTGCCCAGCTTCTGGGCTACACCTCAAGTCACACGATCAGTGACATCCTCTGTCCGTCTCCCTGGCTAGGCCTCCCTGTCCGTGTCATTGTCATCTCCCTCACCGTCCAGCATTCACAAAGGCCGGGAAGGCAGCCAACAAGAGAGATGCAGCTCTCCACTGTGCTGCCAGGTAGCTGGTGGCAAGGGCCCCCACATGCCCCTGCACACAGAAAAAAAAAAAAAACTGAGGAAGATGATTCCCCTCTTCAGGAGGAGAGAGGCAGGGAGCAGGAAGTCTTTGTTCATCCACTTGTATGCCATTTCACTTAGCACAAAGAGAAATAAGTACCTGCCGTACAGCCTGGCTCTCTAGCAAAATAATGTTGTTTTAAAGCACAACATAATTGAAAGTCATCAATCACAAAAAGAAAAATATTGTACGAGACCACTGTTACATAAAAACAATTAAAATAAACCAAGAAAGATCTTCAGACCAAGAGAAACGGATTGCAGACAGAAAGAAGTCAACTTGGTAAAGGGGAAGAAGACCATATCCTAGAAGCAGGAGATGGGAGGAAAAAAGGATGGAGGCAGTGCAAGGCACTGGGAGGTTTGCTAAGTTGGTTAAGTTGTTGACTGAAAAAGCATGAACTGGTACGTAAACCACAATTTCATTCACAATAAATAGAGCACAGATCTACCTTCCAGACTCTCCCTACTTGTTGGAGTAGGGTGAAGTTGAGAGGGGAAATGACTGCTAAGTGACCACCAGCTCTCGGGCTGGTTAAAAATGCAGATTTCAAGGCCACCCGGGACTCCTCAAGACCCAGGTCCTTCTGTGAACTTTCCTCCGAAGAAAACTCTGGATTCAATTTACAGAAATGCTTCTTTCCCTCCTTCTGGTCTCAATAACTCCCCAAACCCTTGATTCCTGGAAAGGGACCAAGTCAGGAGTGGGAATTATGGCCTCAAAACAAGGGCCGAAAGAAGACACTCCCTCCCCCTCCCCCAGAGTTTTGGAAACCCTGGTCTGGGCTGTATCCTAGTCACTATTTTTGGCTGAGGAGCTCTGAATGTTGGACCACAATGCGATCCACTACCCCGTCACACCACCAAGCCGGGTGTCAAGCTATGATTGTGGTTGCTGCCCAGCCTTGTGAGGCCCAGGCTCAGGAACAGGCAGAAGCTGCCAAGAGGAAGGGAGGATGGGGAAAAAAAGTTCACGAAAAGCCAACCAGCACTGGCCTGGCTAAAGGGCCTGGAGGCAAAGAATATCACCTGCTTCCCAACCAACCTCTAGGAGATTCCCCAGACTCTGAAATGTCACAAAGTTGCTGGGGGAAACTTTGCAGGAGTCAATTATGAGAGACCCTGACAAAGCGCCTACTCTCCCTCCCCCCTCCCGATAAAGCCACCTCCTACAACATACAGGAGGTGTGCAGTTTGATTCATGGGGTCATCTGCAACCCCCCACAGGCAGAAGCTGACAGGCAGGCCCTCCCATCAATTCAGATCTTTTCAATTCGGGTATAAGTTCTGTCGCCAGCGGTGCAGCTGGCCATCCCACAACCCAGACTCGATGACGGAAGGGCAGGCCCGGGCAAACAAGTCACCTAATGACATCTGCTCCCCACCCCCCCTGTTCCCAGGACTGAGACATCAAAGTAAACACAGGCTGGGGGCAATGACTGCTGACATCCCTGTACACAGAGGCAGTGACGTTAAGGATGGGGAGGGGCGAAGGAAGAGAGCTGGTGTCAACAACCAAACCGGCCAAAGACCAACAAACTAAGCTTCTGCCCTCAAACTCCTTTTCACTCGACCTTTAACTCTCCCAGGTCAAGTCTGGGCTAAGGAGGACGCCCGATCAGACGGTTCCAAGCGAGCCCAAAAGAAGACAGAAGTTCCCCTCACACTCACACGCAAGCTCCTCCACTCCCCAGACGGGTCCTACCGGCGGATCTCGGGCTCGAGCGCGAGGAGCCTTGGTCTCCGTCGGGGCGCGGGCGACCCGAGCCCAGAGCAGCAGGAGGCTGACCCCCACGGCGGTGGGGGCGTCAGCCAGTCCCCCGCGTTTTACTTGAGCTGCCCCTAACAGTAGCCTCAACCCTCGAGGGTTACAGCAGACAATCACACTCCAGGGGGCCTGGCCTAGCACCCGGGACTCGGGCCGTGTCAGCTG